CTCATCAGCAACGTGTCATTTGTAACATGGAATATTACACAGCTGTGAAAAGAATGAACTTCCCCAGCACAGAGGAGCCCAGGGAGACAGGACTAGAGGCACTGTGGGACCCTGGGTGGGACCCTGGGACAACAGAGGACATTATGGAACCAAAGGGGACGGACGTCCAATAGTGATAATGTAGCAGTATGGGTTCACTGATTACGGTGAATGTATCATCCTAACTTAAGGTGTTGCTGGGTGCGGTGGCTCACACCTGCCATCCTAGCACTGTGGGAGGCTGAGGCAGGCGGATCACAAGGTCAGAAGTTTGAGACCAGCCTGGCCAACACAGTGAAACCCCATCTCTACTAAAACATAAAAATTAGCTAGTCCTAGCTACGAGGGAGGCTGAGGCAGGAGAATTGCTTGAACCCGGGAGGCGGAGGTTGCAGTGAGCTGAAGATTGCGCCACTGCACTCCAGCCTGGCACCTGGTGACAGAGCAAGACCCTGTCAGAAAAAAAAAAAGGTGCTGATATAGCGGAAACTGGCGCCAGCGTATGAGAGCTGTGTGCTATCTTCACCGTTTTTCTGTAAACCTAAAACTGTTCTTTAAAAAGTTTATTCTCTGGGAGGCCGAGGCAGGCAGATCACTTTGGGTCAGGAGTCGGAACCCCGTCTCTACAAAAACATAAAAATTGCCGGGTGCGGTGGTGCGAGCCTGTAGTCCCAGCTACTTGGGAGGCTACAGGGAATCGCTTGAACCCAGGAGGCAGAGGTTGCAGCGAGCCCAGGCTGAACCACTGCACTCCAGCCTGGGTGACAGAGCAAGACTGTCTCAAGAAAAAAAAAAGAAAAAAATGCAAAAGAAGACGAAGCCGGTACGGAGCAGAAGTGACGAACTTTCCGTGTATAAAGATGTGTACTGGGGCTGGAAGGGACAGCATATTTGCATATTTGCTTGTATTTATACAAAGGAACTTGGGAGGATTCACAAGAAATTCCTATGTAGCCATGTGAGCGAATCACTTAGTCAAGACAGATAAAACCCCAGATGTCGGTGAAAAGTGCTGAGGTTGGCCCCCAGGTGGAAGTTTCCAGCGGCCTCAGTGACTCGTCCCACTTGCTGGCACGCCTGGCCCTGCCAATGTCCCGTCTCCAGTCCCTTTCCTGCACAGTCGCCAGTACCCGTCTGGCTCCGGGAACCTGGCGGGGTGGCCCAGCCCTCTCCGCTTGTATTAGGGCTCAGACAGCTGAAGGGTCCAGACACGCGTCACACCCAGGGACACACGGGGCGGTGACCAAGCCATGCACCAGGAGACATCAGAGCAAATGGCTTCTGACGAAAGCCAGCCTCACTCAACATGGATGGAGGAGATTTTCTTTGGAGAGCAATTTTATTAGCACAGTGTTAAGAACCTGAGAAATGGTCCCGTAAAACTACTGAAAATCTGTCACCAGGAGGGAAAGAATATTTCTGTTGTTGAGTCAGAGTCTTGCTCTATCTCCCAGGCTGGAGTGCAGTGGCGCGATCTCAGCTCACTGCAACCTTTGCCTCTTGGGTTCAAATGATTCTCCTGCTTCAGCCTCCCAAGTAGCCAGGATTACAGGCATGTGCCACCAAGCCTGGCTAATGTTTTTGTATTTTTAGTAGAGATGGGGTTTCTCCATGTTGGTCAGGCTGGTCTCCAACTCCTGACCTCAGGTGATCAGCCCACCGTAGCCTCCCGAATAGCTGGGATTACAGGTGTGCACCACCATGCCCAGCTAATTTTTGTTTTTGGTAGAGATGGGGTTTCGCTATGTTGCCTAGGCTGGTCTCGAACTCCTGGCCTCAAGTGATCTGCCCACCTCAACCTTCCAAAGTGCTGGGATTATAGGCGTGAGCCACTGTGCCTGGCCTGTGGTAAGGAATTACTACTGGGTCATACACGCAGTAATGTGTCTTATATACACCATGCAAAGTAAATTTCACAGGTTTTTTTTTTTTTTGAGACAGGGTCTCGCTTTGTTGTCCAGACTGGAGTGCACTGGCTTGTTCAGGGCTCACTGCAGCCTTGACCTCCCGGGCTGAAGCTATCCTCCCACCTCAGCCACCTGAGTAGCTGGGACTACAGGCGCCATCATGGGCCTGGCTAATTTTTGTAGAGATGGAGTCTTGCTCTGTTGCCCAGGCTGGTCTGGCCTCAAGTGATCCTCCTGCCTTGGCTTCCCAAGACGCTGGGTTTGAATCACTGTGCCTGACCCAGTATTTTGTTTTTAAAGATGGGGTCTCCCTCTGTCACCCAAGCTGCAGTACAGTGGCATGATCATAGCTCACTGCAGCCTCGACCTGCTGGGCTGAAGCGATCCTCCCACCTCCGCCTCTCTACTAGCTGGGACCTCAAGTGCGTGCGCCAAGCCTGGCTCCAGAATTTAGAGTGCACGCATGCCATTGAGTTTGCTGGGGGCAGTCTGTGCGGAATGCGACATTACTGCATTCATTTCTGGGGACACTGGCCATCAAGAATGGCAGCTCTGGGGACTGGAGCGGTTGGAAGCCGGGTGGGCTCCAGGCAGCGAGGCCTGCTCCCCTCTACCAGGGAAGCGCCCCACCCCTTCCAGCACCACTGCACCAAGCACTGCTGTATGAGGACGTGGCTGGACTCTCGGCATTCCCTGTGTTCCAGGCACTGGCCACGTCCGTGTCGCCCTTGCTGCTGCCAGCAGAAACATCCGCTTGACGGTGCACGGGTAAAACCACGGTCCTGCTGACGCCTGGTCCCACGGAACCATCTCCCTGCATCAAGAAGCCGATTTCCGGCCCCTGATCCCCGGCCCTTTACAGTGGAAATGACCCAACAGAACGGGGAGGGTGTGTGTAAACGTGGAGCTGCAGGTGCGGGGCAAAGCGAGGCCGCCTGTGTACACGCAGGGCCCGCCTCAGAACGGCACCCAGAAGCCACCACAGACGCCAACAGCCACACCTGAATGTGCCCGGTGGCGTCTAACCGCGGAAGCTAAGCAGGGCTGGGCCTGGTTAATACCTGGATGGAGAAGGACCGGGTGCTGGAGGCTTTTGGCCAAAAAAAACCCCCTAAAAACAAGTCAAAACAGAAATGATGCATTGGGACACACATTTACAAAATACTACCAGAAGGCCAAGTCCTTTCATATGTAGAGAGTGGTTATGACTGAAATGGAGCTCCAAAGCAATGAACAGGCACAACGTGATGAGCTCACAAAGCACCGTCAAGGCACTGGGAACAGAAACTGCGCCATCCACGCATCACTCCAGAAACGCAATCGACAGCAAGACCTTCCATCCTTTAGCAGGGAAAAGCATGTTTGCAGACACTGCACCAGGAGGACGCGGGCAGTATCCGCCCGAGGACGCTCGTGTCTGCCTGAGGACGGTCACACCTGCCTGAGGACGGTCACACCTGTCCGAGGATGGTCGCACCTGCCCAAGGACAGTCGCACCTGCCCAAGGATGCTCACATCTGCCTGTCACACCTGCCCAAGGACGGTCTCATCTGCCCAAGGATGGTCACACCTGCCCGAAGATGGGCACATCTGCCCATCACACCCGCCCAAGGATGGCCACACCCACCCGTCACACCTGCCTGAGGACAGTCACACCTGCCTGGACGGTCATATCTGCCTGAGGATGCTCACATCTGCCCATCACACCCGCCCGAGGACGGTCGCATCTGCCCGAGGACGCTCACACCTGCCCGAAGATGATCACACCTGCCTGAGGACGGTCACACCTGCCTGAGGACGGTCACACCTGCCCGAGGACGGTCACACCTGCCTGAGGATGCTCACATCTGCCCATCACACCCGCCTGAGGACGGTCGCACCTGCCCGAGGACGGTCACACCTGCCTGAGGACGCTCACACCTGCCTGAGGATGCTCACATCTGCCCGTCACACCCGCCCGAGGATGGTCACACCAACCCGAGGACGGCTGCATCTGCCTGAGGACGCTCACACCTGCCTGAGGATGGTCACCACAGCATGGCCTGGGCAGCAAAGGCCACCTGTGACCCGGAGCAGCCACTGGGGAGCCCCGAGCTGAACCGCAGTGCGCGGCAGTGGGAGGAACCATGCGTATCAGGTACAGGTGGTGGTGGGCTGGAGGTTGGCTGTGCAGGGTGCAGGCCACACGGCTTTGCCCTCTGCCTCGTCCAGGGCCTGCGGCATTTCTGAGTGGCTGCAGGGCCTGTACCTCTCTGCGTGCCTGGCCCCACCCACCCGTCCCACCCACACTGGCCTTGGTGGGCAGGCAGTGTCTGGACTCCAAGTGCCGTAAGGAGGAGGAAATGTAATTCCATTTCTGGGTTTTGGTAAATTGGCGAACTGAAAATGGAGGAACTTGGCCTGGGCACAGCAGGGGTTTAAGTGAAGGTCAAAGAGCTTCCCTCCTGTGGGGACAGAAGCGTCACTGTGTGTCGTCCCAGCTACTCAGGAGGCCGAGGCAGGAGAACTGCCTGAGCCCAGGAGGCGGAGGTTGCGGTGAGCCGAGATCGCGCCATTGCACTCCAGCCTGGGTAACAAGAGCGAAACTTCGTCTCAAAAAAAAAAAAAAAAGGAAGTGTCACTGTGATCTGCTGATGGTGCACAGGCGGCCAGTCCTTGTTTCTGGCGTAAGGCCCTTGAGCCCCACCTCAAGCTGGCTGGACCCTCCCCGCAGTGGGGTCCAGGGCACCTGCGCGTCAGGAAAGGTTTGAGGAGGGAGCGGCCGGTGCTCGAGGTAACACGTGGAGCTCGGCGCGGTGACACCGGCCAGGCGGGGCCAGGCTGCTCCATGCTCCGTGCCACTGCTGCAGCCTGGGCGCCGGTGGGAATGCACCCGTGGGGAGCTGGCGGCCTAGGACGGGCGTGGTGACCTCGGGGCTGCTGTGGGAGGAGCGTGGGGGCAGAGGACGGGGAGACCCTGCCAGCCCCCACGACCACACACACGTATCACAGACAACAAACCGTCAAATGGACCCCGAAGCCGACGGAGGAGGGAAGAAAGAAGCCAGGCCAGGGTCTAGCTAGAAAAGGTGTTTTCCTCCCATTTTATTTCATAATACATTTTCACAGAAACATGATATATTTACAAATATACAGGTAAGAGACTGCTGGTCAGAAATCTTAAAACTGAAAATATCGTCAAAAATTAATTTACAAAACCCACCAAGGGTCCACGGAGGCAGCCAGGTGGATGGTGTGGCCTGCGTCCGCGTGAGCCTGCCCGGAAGCCCACGGCGCGTCCCGACTCCGCCTCCCCGGCCCTGTCTCAGGAGGCGCTGGTTTGCAGGTTTTTGGAAGCTGCAAGCATCGCTCTGACTTTGGCCATGAGATCCTGTGCGGGGCGAGACACAGAGGAGAACCATGGACTCGGCCAGAACCCGTGTGGTGAAGAAATTCATGAATGAGTTGGTGGTAAAGACCAAGGTCACTGTGTTTTTTTGAGATGGAGTCTTGCTCTTGTTGCCCAGGCTGGAGTGCAGTGGCGTGACCCTGGCTCACCGCAACCTCCGCCTTCCGGGTTCGAGCGATTCTCCTGCCTCAGCCTCCCAAGTAGCTGGGCCTACAGGCACGCGCCACCACGCCTGGCTAGTTTTGTATTTTTAGTAAAGATGGGGTTTCACTATGTTGGTCAGGCTGGTCTCGAACTCCCGACCTCAGGTGATCTGCCTGCCTCGGCCCCCCAACATGCTTGGAGTACAGGCGTGGGCCACCGCACCCGGCCGACAGTGCTTCTTGCACCTTGGGGTGACGGAGGAGCCTGGCCCAGGGCCTGTGGCATTTTGCCCGAGATCCCTGTCCCGTGCCGGTGTCAATGACAGGAGGGACAGGCAATGAAAATTAGCGGAGAGAAACAAGGCCCCCTGACGAAGGCTGGGAGCGGGAGAGGCCCGTGCACTGACCTGAGTGATTTTGCTCTGCACGGAAGAGACGATGGCTGAAGAGATCTGGGCTTCTTTTTCCTGAGAGACTCCCCTAACGGAGAAGAGAGCAGAGCTCACAACCACGGGAAGACGCTGAGCCAGGCCAGCCAACGGCACGCCCGCCTCCGAACCCCCGCTCTAGAAGCGCGCGACGGGAGCGAGGCGCCTGTGTGCTGCACCAGCACCCCGCCCCACCCGTGCTCAGGCCTCCTGCACCGATGTGCGTTTTGCTATCACTCTAGCCTCAGAGACAGGGCCGCTGTCACGCGGGCTGATGTGCAGCGGTGCCGCCATGGCTCACTACAGCCTCCAGCTCCGGCTCAAGCCGTCCGCTCGCCTTAGCCGCTCGAGCAGCTGGGATTACGGATGCGTGCCACCTATTCTGTAGAGACAGGGTCCTGCCATATTGCCCAGCCTGGTCTCAAACTCCTGCCTTGGCCTCCCAAAGTGTGGGATTACGGGCGTGAGCCACGGCGCGCAGCCCGACACTGAAGGTACCACCTCTTAGAGACCCGGACCCACCTCGAAGGAGCCGAGGCCTCTGCCACATCAGTGGGACAGTCGTGCCATCACTCCCCGATTCACATTCACGGAGGCCATCGGTTTAAAGGGAGCAGCTGTTCTCAGACGCCACCCTCTCTGCTCCCTCGAGTGTGGGTGCCTGGGCAGTGGAGGGTGTCTGACTTGAAAGTCATTATCACCTAGCCTGGGACTGGGACGCCTGTGTCTGTGCTGCTGCCCAGGTGAGAGCCCCGGCCTCGGCCACTGCAGCGACCTGCTGACAGAGCTCTGGGTCTAGTGGTCACTGCAGAGCCCAGTGTGGCAGGTCCACTCACTCCCTCATGACCACATTGGGGGTCTGCAGCTGGGGCCCGTCCCACCTGTGCTGGTGAGCATCAGGCTGACAGCTGGGCTGCCTCAGGCGGGACCGCGCCACTCCTGGGCTCTGCAGGCGGGTGTCCCTAACACAGGACCCTGTCCTCTGAGCGCGGCTGGATTCTGAGAAGCCGCAACTTCCTTGCTAGAGCGGGTGGGGTTTGGCTTCATGGCTGGTGCCCCAGGACACAGGCAAGAACTCAGGGAGGGAGGAAGAGTCTGGCCCGCCACCTCTTGCCCGTTCCCAGAGAGCTGCGTGGGGTCTGGGGGTTACCTGGAGCGCTCCTGGCTGGAGCCCCGACTCTCCACAGGGGAGACGCTGGCCGAGTGGGCCGAGGGGGCTGCGGGCCGGGGAACCGCCTGCTTGCCGGGTGACGCCGACTGGGACCTGGCCTTGGACTTGGTCTGTGACCTCGAGCGCCTCTTCTTCTTCTTCTCGTGGGGACTTCTGCAAGGAGAGATGGGCCTTGGGTTTAGAGGCACAGGGCACACAGGGAGCAGCTCGGGTCTGAGCCAGTCTTTGGGTAAGAGGTGGTCGAGGCACAGCTCAGGGACGGAGCCCCTCCACACAGTCATTCCTCTGAAGGCGACTTGTTTCACTTAACTGAGAAGTGACGGATGCAGAAAATCAATCCAGGGGTTTAACAAAAGCCACCCAGGACACCGAAGACGCCTGGTCTCCTGGAAGCAGTTTCTCGCCCCAGGTTAGGACCTTAAGTAAAACACCTGTGGTATTTAAAATGCAACCAGCACTTTATTTGCGTTTAAAATACCTAAGAAACGTAACCACGGGCAGTTCACAGTGCTTTGCCACTTGTTACATCAATGAACATTTCCAAAAAGATACGGGAAATTATGAGGGCAGTAATACATCCAAGTTTAGCATTCCTTTTTCTAGAAAAGCCAGGGCCTCACTCTGCTGCCCAGGCTGGAGGGCAGTGGCGCATCACAGCTCACTGCAGCCTTCACCTTCTGGCCTCAAGCAACTGCTGCCTCAGCCTCCCAGACGACTAGTGCCGCATCTTCCTTTAAGAGATGGGGTCTCACTCTGTTGTCCGGGCTTCTTTCTGACCTGCCAGCTGCCTGCAGTTGCTAATGCCACTCAGCCTCCGGGCAGTGGAGCCTGCTCTGTGGGTGGCAGCTCCGCTCTGATGTCCGTCCACTTGCCCCCCCGAGAGCCGGCATCACCAAACTGACCATCCCACACCAAAAATGCTCCCCAGACCCTCCGGCCTGCGCCTGCCCTCAGACCATCCTCCTCTCCTGCCTGGACGGGCAACCCTTTGGCTTCTGCCCTGTCTAGCTCCATTCCACACCCTAGCCACGTGGGCCTCTTGGCCACTCCCCTAAAAACACAAGCAAGGAGAGGAAAGGCAGACAGGCCTGAGCCCTCCTTGGGAGGCCCTGCAGGCCCTGAGGTGCCTCACCTGGCATCTCCTTTCAGAACTCATCTGTAACACACTGCAGCACGCGCTTCCAGCCCTGAGTACAGCTTTCTTGAGAGTCTCGCACGGGTCATTTGCATGTTTCTCTGGTCCGCTGTCTCCTTCCTTTCCTCCTTTAGCCTCACTATCCAGGTGGGCCTCAACTGCCCAGTGTGCCAGCCTGAAGGGGGAACTGTGGTTCCTGGCCGGTGTCTGACTCTCTCTCCTGGGGTTCTATCTGCACAGCTTGCAAGCGTCTGCCTGGCTTATGATTCTGTGTGCCACGAAGCCCCTTACCGGCCTGGCCTCCTCTGTCTTCCAGGAGACCCCCAGGGCCTGTGTACACGCCCACTTACCCCAAGCCCTGCCCCCCATCAGGGCCTCCCGACTTCATGCATTTCTTTTGTGCTCTCCCTGAGATCTGAAACGTCCCTGCTTAATGGCTGGGCTGTGCTCACAGTGTGGGGTGCAGACCCCATGGAGGGGCTGGGCGCTCTGCCCATCTCTAGGACCCCACCAGTGCCTGGCTCTGCAGAGCTTAGACAAAGCTGTGGGTGCCAGGGGCCATGGTATGCTCTGTAGTGACAGCCCTGATATGCACCGTGGGGCTGGGCATTTCCGTCCAGGTTTCCTTGTGCTGTTCTGGGCATGAGCAGACTGTGTTGGTGCCAATGAACTGACCTAAAGCAGCAGTGCCAGGCCTGGGGTGCTCTTGCCCAGCTCCACTTAAACAAGGAGGGACCTGCCAGAGGCGGTGCTCACTGGCAGCCCAAATCCAGCTGCTGGAGAAGCTGTCCCTGGTGAGCTGGGCCCTGGCAGGTGACCTGGCATCTTCCGGAAGCCTGCCTGATGTGCCAGTGAGGACAGTGTTACAAACGGAGGCACCGTTCTCACTGTTCAATACACAGATGTGGAGCCTGCACATGAGACTGATTTTCTGAAACTGCAAAATGTCTTGTGAAATTTTTGTCTATATGCTAGTATTTCAAAGGAAGCAGCAAATAAATAAAATGCACACCAGCATGTGACGTGTGTCCAAAATGACTTACTCCCCAAATTCAGCTGAGCTTAGGGGCTGCATAATGAATAAAAGGCAGCTACTAATCCTTAACTGTAAATCGGTTCAGTTCTGCTACAATCGGATCTAAGCCCTGCTGAAGAAATGGAGTAACTCATTCATTTTTTAAGGAACCGAGGTGCCGCCGTCCGTCCGGTGCAACGCGGCCTTCCGTGCCTTTGCCGAGCGTGGCAAGTGCGCACACCCCGACCCCTGGCCCTATCCACGCAGGAGTGTCTCTTTATTCCAGAAATTTCCTTGATGCCATTCAAGTTCGTCTGTGCCCCTCCTCCACCCTCAGTGGGCCCCACTGTTGATTTCCAGTGCACCGCCTAAGCCCCATGTGAGCAAGCCCCACACTGTGTCTGTATTTGTTGGTTTGGCTTCCTGGTTTTTTTGGGACAGTTTCCCTGTTGTCCACGCTGGAGTGCAGGGGACAATCCCTGCTCACGGTGGCCTTGACCTCCCAGGGTCCAACAATCCTCTCGCTTCAGCCTCCTGAGTAGCTGGAACGACAGGCAGACACCCCCACATTCGGCTAATCTAAAAAATTTTTTTTTAGTCGAGATGGGGGGCTCTGAAAAAAAAAAAAAAAAAAAAAAAGGCCAGGGAGCCTCAGGCTCAAGCAGTCTTCCTGCCCTGGCCTCCCGAAGTGCTGGATTCCAGGTCGAACCACCACGCCTGGCCTGTGGCAGGCTGCTGCTGCTCAGCAAAGCCTGTCGAGGCTCTTCCACGAAGCTGGTGACCCTGCTTGTTTCTCTGACCGACGAACAGTATCACACGATAGGCTGCTACCACCATGTGCCGACTCATTTCTCCTGTTACGAGGCATTTGATTGTTTTCATTTTCGGCAATCATGAATCAAAGTGTTTCTGGTCAAATGCTGACTTTACAGAGGAGTTCACATCTAGGAACAGGACGCTGTGTCAGGGAGAAGGTATATACTTAGCTTCACAGTCAGCTGTGGGGGGCCCAACGCCGGGCCCGTGCCCACTATCCCTAGAGACTGTCCCATCTCCCTGGTTTCACGTGCTCCTCCCGGCTGATGACTCACGCTGGGCCACATCTTTTCACGTGCTGACTGGCTATTTCAGTACATCCTTTTGTGAAGTCGGCCGGCTGGCGTCATCTGCCCCCTTCTTAATTGGGTCCTTTGTCTTTTTGGTCCTGACTCAGGCTTTTGTCGGAGATATGTACTGCAAAGCCTGTGGCCGGCCTATTCATCTTCTTAACTATGCCTTTGAGATAAGTTTTTAAACTTCAATGAAGTCTAATTTATTTTTGCCTCGTATCAGAGAGTTTTTTACATCTTAAGGAATCTTTGCCACCCTCAAATTCATGAACATATTCTGTTTTCTTCAAAAAGCTTCCTAGTTCTAGTTTTTATTTTCAGATCTCTGATCCAGCCTGAATTAAATTTTGCGTATGGTTTGCGGTGCACTTTTTTCCCATTCCAACATCCAGCTGTTCATGCAAGTTTTGCTGAAGACTTTCCTGGTTGGGTGCTGTGGCTCACGCCTGCAGTCAGGGCACTTTGGGAGGCTGAGGGAAGAGGACTGCTGGAGCTCAGGAGTCCAACATCAGCCTGGACAACATAGTGAGACCCAGTGTCTATAAATAATAAAAAAAAAATTAGCTGGGCATGGTGGTGTGTGCCTGTGGTCCCAGCTATTTGGGAGGCTGAGGCGGGAGGATCCCTTGAGCCCAGGAGGTGGAGGCTGCAGTAAGCCACGCTGAGCTGACATCAGACCACCGCTGCAGTCCAGCTTGGGCAACAGAGAAAAACAAAAAAGTCTCTCCTTTCTCCTTTTCCTCACTAAATGGCTGTGGCTGTGGCCCCTGCCCTGCGGGTGTGTCTCCTTCCTGTACGTCCTGTTCCGTCCCACCGCTCCATCGGTCTTCATGCTGACACCACGCTCCTTGCTGACGGTAGTAGCTTTCTCTAGGCCCTGAAATCCTGCTCTTTATCAAGGAGGTTTTGGCTTTCCCAGGTCACGTGCATTTCTACACACACGTCGAGGTTTCAGTGTGCCAGTTCCACAAATGCCTGTGGGAGTTCTGAGTGGGACGGCGCCAGCTCTCCAGATCGACTTGCAGAGAACAGACATCTGAGTCACACCAAGTCACTAATATTTTGTGAAGTATTTTTGCATCTATGTTCTTGAGAGTCCTGGTCTGTGAACACACATGTGCGTGCGCACACAGTGCTGGTCTGTGAATACATACACATGCACACACACACAGTGGTCTGTGAACACACACGTGCATGCGCACACAGTACTGGTCTGTGAACACACACACATGTACGCACACACAGTGCTGGTCTGTGAACACACACACATGCACATGCACACAGTGCGTGAACACATACACATGCACACACAACAGTGCTGGTCTGTGAACACACATGGTACTGGTCTGTGAACACAGGTGCACGCACACACAGTACTGGTCTGTGAACACATATACACGCACACACACGGTACTGGTCTGTGAACACAGGTGCACGCACACACAGTACTGGTCTGTGAACACATGTACACGCACACACACGGTACTGGTCTGTGAACACAGGTGCACGCGCACACGGTACTGGTCTGTGAACACAGGTGCGCGCGCACACGGTACTGGTCTGTGAACACACGTGCGCGCGCACACGGTACTGGTCTGTGAACACACGTGCGCGCGCACACGGTACTGGTCTGTGAACACACGTACACGGCACACATGGACTGGTCTGTGAACACGTGCATGCGCACACACGGTACTGGTCTGAACACACGTGCATGCACACACGGTACTGGTCTGTGAACACACGTGCATGCGCACACGGTACCGGTCTGTGAACACACGTACGCATGCAAACGGTACTGGTCTGTGAACACACACACGTGCTCACGCACACACCTTCCCCCAAACAGAGTCCTCATCTGGCTTAGGTGTGAGAGTTATGATGAACTAAAGAGATGAGCTGGGAAGGGTTCCCTCCTCTCTTTTCTTTAAAGAGTACCTCTTCTTTCTTGATTGTTAGAATTCACTGGTGAAGCCATCTGGGCCTGGAGTTTGGTGGAAGTTTTCTTTTTTTTTTGAGACAGAGTCTCACTGTCAACCAAGCTGGAGTACAGTGGCACGATCTTGGCTAACTGCAGCCTCCGCCTCCCAGGTTCAAGAAATTCTCCTGCCTCAGCCTCCCAAGTAGCTAGGATTACAGGCGTGTGTCACCACACCCAACTAATTATTGAATTTTTAGTAGAGACGGGGTTTCGCCACACTGGCCAGGCTGTTCTCAAACTCCTGACCTCAGGTGATCCGCCTGCCTTGGCCTCCCAAAGTGCTGGGATTACAGGCGTGAGCCACTGCACCCAGCCAGGTCTTGCTTTTTAATCCACTCTACAATCACTGCTTTTAAACTAGTTTTTAGTCTTCTTACATTTAATGTAACTATTTTACAGATGGTTTTAAGTCTACAATTTTCTTATTTTTTATTTGTCCTATTTGTTCTCCCCTCCGGCCCTTTTCTGCTGTTTCATGAATTTAAGAAAGCATCTAAAATCCTACTTTCTATCTTCTATTGGCTTTTTAGCTACATTTGTTTTGAGTGATTGCTCTAGGAAATTATGTTATGCATCCTTCAGTTAGCAGAGTTGACCTTGAATGAACATTTCACGTGTAATGAAAGATCTTTACTCCAACATTAAATTCCCATTCTCTGTCTCAGCAGAGTCGTCCATGTGCCAAGAGTAGTGCTGAGTCCTAGAAGCTCAACGGAGACAACCTGTAATACTCATTCATGGTATCTGCTGCAATGAGGTAACCGGGCATGTTGCTAAGTACGCGACCACAGACTTGGTCAGTACCCGTGTGAAGAGCCCTGGCTGTGACTCCAAGGCTCCTGCGCTGCACTCAGCCATCCATGCAGCTGCGGCTGTCGGTGCCCGCCACTGCGCCTGGCTGAAAAACACTTTTATGACCTACTTGAAATGACTTTCATGAATGTTGTTTTATGTATTTCCACACTGTCAATTTTACTCCTAAAAATTCCTCAATATGTCCACATCTGGATTTCCAAATATTCACTAACAGGAACCAGAGGTCCTTGAAGAAATGGCAGATTCCAGGGCTGAGCAGGGAAAACTCCTGGTAAGCCTGGAGTATCTTGTACCAAAAGCAGGAGCGCAAAGAACAATGGAGGTGGACAGAACAGACTGGCTCGAAAGGGTCCCACTGGCCGGCTGGAGACAACGTCACCATCTAACAGAATAATAACAGCAACGGATTATCGCACAACAAATCAAAAACCACAACCAAAAATGCTCCTGAGTCCACGGTGAGATTTAAACAAAGGAGCAGGGCCTTCAGCTAATAAACAGAAACAAGACTAGAGGGAGAAAGTCACTGCTTTGCAATCAGCAGTGTGAAGAACTGATTCAGGAAGGGGTCGTCAAGGGATGCTGAGGCCGATGAGAAGAGAGCCGCTGGGAGCAGGAGAGCCACACTGCCCCAGCGTCACCTCCTGGGTTCCTCGCTGGTGGGGAGAGGAAGGGGAAGTGATCAAGCTCAGCATCACAAATGATGGCACGAACAGACGCTTCTGTCTCCTGATCTGTGACGCAATGGGAAGCTACGCACGGTGGCCCACGTGGCATTCCACAAGGCCAAAACATTCACCTTGAACCCAGCCATGAGGACACAGCGAGACAAAGCCTGACTGTGGGGCCATCTACAGTAGAGCTGGCCTGGGAGTTTTGGGAATGCTAAGGTCATGAAACACCACATGAACGAAGGAGGGAGGGAGGGAGTGAAGGGGCGGGAAGGGGTAAGAAACGCAAAGCAAACGTGGCAAAATGTCAGCGGAACTGAGCTACAGATTTTACGCATATGGGTGTTTATCGTACAATTTGTTTTTAAAGAGAGGGTCTCCCTGTTGCCCGGGTGGAGGGTGCAGTGGGTATTCACAGGCACGATCACAGCCCACACTAGAGCCTCCAACTCCTGAGCACAGGTGGTCCTCCTATCTCGGCCTCTGAGTGCTGGGATTATTGATGTGAGCCACTGAGCCTGGCCCATTGTACTATTTAAAAAACTTTCCTGTAAGTTAAAAGAATTTAACTTCGTCAGTGATTAAGAATCAGGCAATAATCAGTTTGTAGAAATGACCCTTCAGGGCCAGGCACGGTGGGTGATGCCAGTGGGAGATTGCTTGAGCTCAGGGTTCTGAGACCATCCCAGGCAACATGGCAAAACCCTGTCTCTACTAAAAATACAAAAAATTAGTCGGGTGTGGTTCCACGTGCCTATAGTCCCAGCTACACAAGAGGCTGTGGTGGGAGGATCAGTTGAACTCAGGAGGTCAAGGCTGCAGTGAGCTGAGAGCTTGTCACTGCACTACAGCCTGGGCAATGGGAGTGAGACCCTATTTCAAGTAAAAAGAAAAAAGAAAAAAAGAATCCTCCAAATCTGGGTAGTGGGCATTTCTCCTGGTTTGGTCTGGTGCCGTCAGAGTATTAAAGTGACAACGACCTGGTAGTTGAGTTATGTGCACTGCACCACAGCAAGGCATGCACGCCCACTCCGAGGCAGGAACACAGCCTGACTGTAGGATTAATACCATGACTGCTAATAAAATGTATTCCGTGACGGTGCGGTGGCTCACGCCTACCATCCAAGCACTTTTGGAAGGGAAGCAGGTTAATCACCTGAGGCCAGGATCTTGACAGCAGCCTGGGCAACTTAGTGAGACCCAGTCTCTACAAAAAAAATTTAAAAATTGGCCAGGCATGGTGGTAAGTGCCTGTGGTCCCAGCAACTTGGGAGCCTGAGGTGAGAGGATGGTTTGAGCATAGGAGGTAGAAGCTGCCGTGAGCTGTGATTACGCCACTGCACTCCAGCCTGGGAAACAGTGAGAAAATCACCCCTAAAAGAAAACCAAACCAAATGAAAACCAACCCAACCGAACCCATATTCTGGATTTATAGACTGGGTCTGTAATGAAGACTACAAAACTGACCAGCAATTGTACACATATTCACCTGCTGAGTTCCTAGCACATCACCGTCCACCACTGGCAGAGTCAGGGTTGTGGGCTGAGCTCTGTCTAGGTAGCTCAGCACTCAGCACTGCCGCCGAGGCTCAACCTTCACTTCTCTCGTGCGACCTGTGAGCGCCTGGTGAGCATGCCGGCAGGCCACGTGAGTCTGACGTCTGAGTGTGCCGGCTGGCTGGAGGTCACTGCTCCTTCCAGATACAGTCACTATCTGCTCCCAGGAGGTCTCTCTTAAAGCAAAGATTAATTTGAAGGCAAAGCAAGGGCTCTTCCATTGAGATCTAAAGAATTAATTTCTGACCATGCCCTTCACATATACTAAAGGTGACAGTGAATTTCTGATGTGAAATTATGTATTTAAGGGATGGATTCTAACATTTTAATTTTCATCAGATTGTATTAATGTAGACATGAATGCTCAGTGTGGGATCCTAAGGAAGAAAATGTAATTAATCAACAGCAAGTTATACACGAAACATTTGTTAGCATCTATCTGCTTTACAGCTCCTTTGCTGATTTTTCTGTTTTAAGAAAAGAGATCACATCTTGTCAACAGAGGGAACTGTGGTCCTTCTAGGCCAATCGCAGCAGGGTCTTCTGGCCCAGGGTGCTGTGGGGGACCTGCTTTGGCTCTGCCTAGCACGTGCCTTGTGGCTGGGCAGTGCGGGTGATGGCTGGGGCCATCTGTCCCAGGAGCAGGAAGGTCCCAGTGTGTGGCTGATCCTGGCAATGCAAGGCTCGTCCTCTGGAAGGCTCTGGGACCCCGAGTGTCCTGACCCCCGCACACTTAGCAGGACTGTGTTGGGAAACTCCAGGCTACGATGTGCAACGCCCCATCCTTCCATGTGGCTCCAGACACAGACACCGTCCACCCACACAGCCAGGAGGCCGCATGAACTCCATATGGAAACACAAAACGAGAGCTCCCCGCGCTCGGAGAGTGGAAACACACAGCTGCCCCACACCAGGCACTGGGGGGACATCAGTGGGTGAGAACCGGAGGTGGCGCTCATGAGATGGGCGGGGCCGAGAGGGCGGATGGTGGATGTATTTCCTGAAGTGAGAGGTGAGCCTGCGGTACCCTGCACCGTCACAGGCCCTGCCAGGTACCACGCTGGGGCTTCCACTGGATAAACGTGAATGCCGGCCTCCCTCCCTCCCCTCTCCAACCAAAACAGGTTCTCCTAGTGGTCGAGAGGTAAGGGATGGATGTTCCCTGCCCTGTAGGCCCCAACAGGACTCTGTGGCCTCTCCTGGGAGCTCTAGCCTGGGCCATGGTCACAGTCACACAGCACACAGGCAACCACAGTGACCGTCCTTGAGACCAGGAGGCGTCAGGACCAGAAGGTTGCGTTCTCCTTCTGTTTGTGCCTTCTCGTCCTCTCCGCCAGCAGGTAGAGGGGCAGCAGCTGTGTGTGGACCCAGCCGAGATACTGGAGCAGTGGAATGAGGGACAGAAGCCAGGCCGTGCAGAGCCCCTGTGGGCATGCAGGTGTGACCCTGTCCACCAGGCACAGGAGCTCAGCGTGATCAAGTGTCAACAGTGACACAATGCCACGGGGAGTTGGGGGGACTCGGCACCTCCCTCTGGTCATCCACAGCTCTGCTCACACACACACACCGGACCTTCAGACGCCCCTTCCGCCCAGGGAACCCTGGCCTGCATCTGGCACCGGCACGCATGCCCAGTGGCCTACCTGGAGCGGGTCCGCTTCCTGCTGGCTCCGGGGCTGCTGCTCACGCGGTAGGCAGTGGGCACACTCCTCTCTTCCCTCCGCCTCTCAGGGGAGTGGGCTCTCCTCCGAGGGGACCGGGAGCGGGACCTGGACAGAAGAGGACGCAGCGTTCAGCTCTGCAGCCCGGCTGGCGGGATGGGAACCACTTCCTGCTGCCCCGGCAGAGACTGAGCCCCGTCTGCAGAGCCCGCAGGGTGCTCCGAAGGGTGGTGCTTGTGCAGACCCCGAGGCTTCAGAGAACCCCTGCCAAGCTTCGCTACTCTACCGACAACTGGAACCCCGACTCCCACTTTAGAGGCAGAGATGGTCCCTCCCGTTCCACACACTTATCACACCAAGGATCAACTTTTAACCAATACACAGCTGACTTGAGGCTGGAGCTACGTGCTGCTGCTTCAAACGGTCACTGGCAACCAATTCTCCACGAGCCATGGCCGGTTGCGCGATTTATGACCACCTCAGGCTCGTTTCTCTTCCTTCCTCCTGCCCTGGCCCATTTATCTCCCTATAAACTTCAGCTCATCGATGTCTCTACCTACATTAGGTAAGAAAAGGCAGTCAAATTCCAGTGAGTCCTGTCTACCTGGCTGAACAGCGGCAATGAGAGACTGAACGGTCATGAAGCTTGAGGCCTAGCTGGAAATTTCTCTAGTTCACACTGATCTTACGGCCTCTCAGCACGGGTCATCAGGAACAGGCTGTGGGGCCCTGGCACGAAGCCTGACACCTTCAATCCAACTCAGAAATGCCAGTCTCACGACAGTTTCAGCTAACTTAAGTTTATGAGATTTCACCGATGCAAAGCCACCCATTAACACTGATTTCTCCTCCTCACGTGCCCAGAAAGGACACATCCCTCTCCTGTGGTGACATAATGCACACATATGGCCACGAAGACCGAAGCCTGCGCCCCTTCAGGGGTGACGTTCCTTAGTGGAGGCCCCTGAGCCATGAGTTTGGCTCAGAAGAGCGCGCAGAGACAGATCTGGCGGCAGTGAGGCCGCTTGGTAACTTCCTGGCTTGGCTGCCACTGTCACGGGATGCGCTGCTCTGACAGGGCTCCGCACACGTCCCTGGGGAGGCTGTGGCTCTGTGACATGGAGGCACGTGCAGAATAAAAGGCAGTGGGCGGGGCGCTACCACAACTCTAAAACAAGCTCTGCTTAATCAAAGCTACAGAAGCGACAGCAGCTAGGGAATGCTTGCTCGGGCTTAGAATTCTACAGCAAACTCAGTCATCAGGAAAAACATCAGTTTTTAAGGCCTGAAAATTTGTGACTTTGAAATACAATAGATTTTGTAGCGGCTATTAGTTATGGGCTTCTTTAAAGGGAAGTGGCTATTGCCAGCAGATTTTCATGTTACCTGGGGAAAATGCCCATCTCAGAATTAGGGGCTACATGCCAATTAGACAATTCTTTAAGTTTTACTTGAGTTAAAGAAGCTTTAATGCTTTTTATTCTGTTAATTAAGCTTCTCATATTGATACCACAACACAGTGCGAGAAACAAGAATTCCATTCTATAAGCAAATAATCCGTATCATGTGACCAGAGGCCTTCTTAAAGATGAAGTGGTCTGCGTTAGACACTTTCAAGCATAATGTGAATCATAGTTTTTTTTCCTAAAAAAGCATAATGGTTTGCTTTCAAATAAAGACATAATGAGACCTTCCTCAATGATGAAACTCTAGAAATCTTATCTGAATGACAGTGGTCACATCTATGAACAGCCTCTTTCTCCAGCATTTAACCATTTCATGGACTCCACTTCCTCCATTCACCTCCCCAGCCCGGCCTTTCAGTCACGGAGTCATCTGCGCAGAGGACTCAGCAGCAAAGGTCTGCCTCTGGCACAGCTGAGCCACCAGCAGGCTCCTGAGGCCGAGTTTTTCTCAAGTTTAAACTGTGGATCCGACTTCAGGTGCAATTCCTCCTGCGTCCGGAGCCCGGTGACAGCTGCTGCAGCTCCTCCTCCTTCCCGTACCGCTCAGTGCAGACACCCTCTGGTCTCATCTGTGTTTGGCTACGATTCACTTTGATTCACTTTGCAAGGGATGGAACGGTGGTCCTCACCTCAGCGACCAACACTACCGCTCAGGGAACTGCAAACATCTGTTTTCCCCTTTAAGGAGCAGGATTAGGAGACGAGTCATCGCCTCCACTGATGTCACGGGAAAAAAGGACAATGAGGAGTCTCAACTTTCAACTTAAAGCAGAATCCCAGCGTCCCTTCTGAATGCTAAACAAGACTCCTGAGAAACGTCTTCCACACCCCCAGTGTCCCCCACCAACCCCAAGTACATAGAGACTAATTTCTACAAAGAAATAGATTTTTATCATCTAGAACTCCCACAAGTCCAAGGTAACTATGAAGATGCATTTAGATACCTAAATGAACACAAGAGAGCATCTTAGCAAAAGTTTAAAAAACAAACTTAGTTTCAAGCTGATACTTATTAAAATTTACTTTTCGGTAGTAAATGAACTGCATGAGCACTTCCTCCTTCCCTTAAGATAAAGAACCAGATGCGACATAAAAATACAAATAAAAATAGAAAACAAGCCAATACAAGTCTTTTGCTTTATTTATTTAATTAATTTATTTATTTTTGAGACAGAGTCTTGCTCTGTTGCCCAGGCGGGAGTGTAGTGGCGTGATCTCAGCTCACTGCAACCTCTGCTTCCTGGGTTCAAGCGATTCTTCTGACTCAGCCTCCCAAGTAGCTGGGATTACACATGCCACCATGCCTGGCTGATTTTTCTATTTTTAGGAGAGATGGGGTTTCACCATGTTGGCCAGACTAGTCTTAACTCCTGACCTCAGGTGATCCACTGGCCTCGGCCGCCCAAAGTGCTGGGATTATAGGCGTGAGCCACTGTGCCTGGCCTCAACGTTGAGTTAAAAGACTCTAACTACTACCTTGTCATAATCAGTGTCCTTTCTGAGAAGTGACACAGTGATTTTCCAAAACTAAAGATTTTTCCCATGACTAATTTACCACTGGAGATCCAGAGTCACCTGTAACTTGGCCATATTGAATCAATGGGACTTCACAGGAACAGTATGACATGATATCCGTGTTCACTGCGCTGTAAGAAGGCATTCTAGTCTCAACTTTCCATATTTCACATAGAACTTTTGTAGTTTAGTATATAAAACAAGATGCATCCCAGGTAGCATCCTGCCACAATCAGAAATACTAACAACTGCGTATTCCACCATGGGCGGGCAGCAGTCATCAAAAATGACCGATCAGGTCTGTTCAGGTCCAGGTGACACGTCCAATCCATTCCGAGTGGAGGCTGCATTTTTTTTTTTTAAATATGTTTGGAGGCTGCATTTCTTAACAGTTTATTCTATCTGCTGACAAAAGCATTAGTACTTTCAATATTTGGGTGAAAATTCAGTTATCTTTTATACTCCAATAATTTATATTACTGAGGAGACCACCATACCCTCCCATTTATAACTTGTATTTTAGAGCCGCTTGGATTCCTGGAAATGATTACTGTTGGCAGAGCTTGGATGGAGGAAGTGTATTTGCAGCCGATTTAGAAAAATGCAATCCTACTCAATAAAACATGCATTCCCTGTTCCCAGAAGAGCTGAGGCAGAATTCCACAAAAAAGGTCATGGTAAGAAACCACCAGCCTATCATTATTTTTTTGTAGAGAATATGTTGATTAGGCTAGATTGCAGCTCCTGCACTCAAGGGACCCTCCTGCCTCTGCCTCCCAAGCAGCTGGGGCTTCACTAGCTTGTTGAGCTGACGTCCTTGGGCTCTGGAGCCCACGGCACCAGTGGCCTCTGCACCCAGCTATGCCCTTGGCCCTGTGGAGGGGAACTACTGCCAGGGGCCAGCACCCACGGCAGAACTTGCTAGACAATCCCACACCTGGAAGACTTTGTTTGATAATATTCTTTTTATTTTACAATAAAGTTGGACTTTGCCTTCACATTTTGAGTAAGTTGCAAAATCAAATGCTTTTTAATCAGTTATTTACAATTAACTATCTTCTCAGCCACTGAGATTAATGAAAAATTCGAGTGTTCTGAAAACATTTTACTGTGTTGTAAAATATTTTAAATGTAGGTCGAATTAAAATTGGTAGCCTACCATCACAGTAGAAACCATGCTCAGATAATTTTCACGTTAATTTTTTCTTTTAACTGAAAGTCACAAACTAATGAGTAGGATTTTGCTTCTTGGACTTGTCAGCACTGAATAAACCTATTCTAAAATCAATCATTCCAATAACATGTACAATGACTTTTTCTACTATAGACTAGGCAACAGAATCCAAGTGTTAGTGAAGACTTTCAGTTCTGAGTAATGATCTGGGAAAAGCTGACAGCCACAACATCACCTTTCCTTACAAACAAATGGACAGAACCTGAAGTATCAGGCTGTGTTCACAAAAACTCCCCACAGTAAAGCTGAGCTACTTTCTTATACTAAAGAAACACCGTGAACAGCCTTACAATGATCGGTCCCCAAGGCTTGGGATTTAGGAAGGAATTATACATTTTGTTTGAGCCTATAGAAAAGGAAAATTGGGAAGAATTTTACTGACTATAGTTCCTAGGAGGGCTTCTTTATGCCTATCATCAGCTATGTAATGTCATAAGAAACATTTTCAAAAAGGAAATTTAAAATTTTAATCTTCATTTGATTGCATTTAGAGGCAGGGCTTTGCTGTCACCCGGGATGGAGCACAGTGGTGTGATCAGGGCTCACTGCACTGATCAATCCTCCTGCCTCAGACTCTGTATGTGCTCAGGAGTTCGAAGTATGCACTGACACACCTGGCTAATTTAAAAAAATATTTTGTAAAAAAAAAAAAAAAATCTATATCTATATCTATATCTATATCTATATCTATATCTATATCTATTCTGTAGATATAGGGTTTCACTATGTTGCCAAAGCTAGTCTTGAACTCCTGGCCTCAAAATAATCCTCTCATCTCGGTGTCCCAAAGCACTGGGATTACAAGTGTGGGCCATTGTGCCTGGCTTCAAATGAGAAAGTTTTAAAAAGCTTTGATATAATAATACCAGTTCCTGGGAGCCTTTAAAAATTGAAGATATGTTAGCTAAATTGTTCACTGGATTAGAAAATGGCAAGGGCTTCTGTGTCTATGTGTGTTTAATGGTAAGAAGTAATGAAACGTTTAAAACACAGAAATGCACAGTGAAGGATCAAACTGATTTATCATGGATTCAAAACCGATTTTACTGTAGAGAAAAGTGAGTATAAACGCTTGCCAAATCTCAAGTGTTGGCCAGGGTAAAAATGAGGAAAGCAGACCGGGCGTGGTGGCTCATGCCTGTAATCCCAGCACTTTGGGAGGCCAAGACGGGTGGATCACCTGAGGTCAGGAGTTGGAGACCAGCCTGGCCAACGTGGTGAAACCCCACAAAATTAGCTGACGCTGAGGCAGGAGAGTCGCTTGAACCCGGGAGGCAGAGGTTGCAGTGAGCCAGGATCACACCACTGCACTCCAGCCTGGGCAACAAGAGCAGAAACTCTGCCCCCCACGCCCCCACACGCAAAGCATATTGTTTTCAGGATATATTCAGAAAGGCAAATGTGTAAAATTATACTTAAAAAAGCCCATAAAGGGCCCAGGCATGTGTATTTTTCCTATGAAAACCTAAGAGCTAATATGGATTCTAGAAGAAAAACTAGATGAGCACAGTCAGAGCTGCACTAGAGGATCTGAGGAGAGGAGAGCCAGCCAACGCTCAGTGACAAACCTGACGGGGCCCTGAAAGTGCGGTGCGCGGTGCGACCTCCTGAGGCCGGACGCTGCTTTGTTTCCCAACACTTGTTCTCACCAGGAAGTATTCTAAGACTCTGAAATGTTTTCATGTTTTTAATTTCTGCTGCCAGAGATGTTAACCGCCTTTCTGAAAAACGGACTCATCAAGAAGGCCTTTGGTTTAATAGTGACCTCAGAGGGAGGCAGGGGAGGAGACACTGCACCGGGGCTGCGCTCTGCACACACTGCACACACACTCACGGGTGCCACACTCTGCACACACACTCACTCTGCACACACTGCACACACACTCACGGGGCCACACTCACTCTGCACACACACTCACTCTGCACACACTCTCACGGGTGCCACACTCACTCTGCACACTCACTCTGCACACACTGCACACACACTCACGGGTGCCACACTCTGCACACACACTCTGCACACACACTCACTCTGCACACACTGCACACACACTGGCACCACACTCCACACACTGCACACGCTCACTCTGCACACACTGCACACATGCTCACTCACTGGTTCCATGCTCCGCACACACTCTGCACACACTGCACACTCACGGGTGCCACACTCACTCTGTACACACACTCACTCTGCACACACTGCACACACACGGGTGCCACACTCACTCTGCACACACTCACTCTGCACACACTGCACACACACTGGCACCACACTCCACACACTGCACACGCTCACTCTGCACACACTGCACATATGCTCACTCACTGGTTCCATGCTCCGCACACTCTGCACACACACTCTGCACACACACTCACGGGTGCCACACTCACTCTGCACACACACTCACTGCACACACACTCACGGGTGCCACACTCACTCTGCACACACACTCTGCACACACACTCACTCTGCACACACACTGGCACCACACTCCACACACACTGCACACATGCTCACTCACTGGTGCCGTGCTCCGCACACACTCACTCTGCACACACTGCACACACACGGGCGCCACACTCCACACGCTCACTCTGCACACATCACACACGCTCTGCACACACGCTCACTGCACACACGCTCACTGGTATCACACTTGCACACACTGCACACACGCTCGTTGGGGCCACACTCTACATACTGCACACATGCTCACTCATTGGCACCGCACTCCGCACAGACGCTCACTCACTGGTGCTGCACTCTGCACACTCACTTTGTACACACACTGCACACATGCTCACTCATTGGCGCCGCACTCCACACACACTGCACACGCTCACTCTGCACACGCTCACTCTGCACACACGCTCACTGGTGCCACACGCTGCACACACTCTGCACATACGATCACTGGGGCTGCACTCTGCAGATTGCACACATGCTCACTCACTGGCACCGCACTCCACACACACGCTCACTCACCAGTGCCGCACTCTGCACACTCACTCTGTACACACACTCTGCACACATGCTCACTCATTGGCGCCCCACTCCACACACACTGCACACATGCTCACCAGCGCCACACTCTGCACACTGCACACACACGCTCTGCAGAGAATCCAAACCCAGACATTTTAGAAGAAATTAGCATGGGAAACTTCACTTGTACAAATAAAACAAAAGACTCTCCAGCCCACCACCCTCGGTTTCACACAATCAGCAAATGTGCTCCGCTTGCTTCCAGCACCTGTTACAATGTAAATAAATCAATTTTTAAAAACCTGGCAGTAGGTGATGGGCTCTGAAAAGTTAAGTAGAGGCCAGGCATGGTGGTGGCTCATGCCTGTAATTTCAGCACTCTGGGAGGTTGAGAGGCCAAGGCAGGCGGATCCCCTGAGGTCAGGAGTTCGTGACCATCCTGGGCAACGTGGTGAAAGCCGCCTCTACTAAAAATACAAATATTAGCTGGGTGTGGTGGTGGGCGCCTGTGATCCTAGCTGCTCAGAAGGCTGAGGCAGGAGAACTGCTTGAACCTGGGAGGCGGAGGTTTCAGTGAGCCAAGATCCTACGACTGCACTCCAGCCTGGGCAACAAGAATAAAACTCTAGGAACAGGAACAAAACAAACACAACCTTAAAAAGATCTTACTTGGCCTGGCAGCGCACACAGACGCGTGCACGTGCACACGTGGGTCTGTGTAATACAAGCAGTGCTGATTTTCAACTTTCCACCTGGTGCTACTGAGCATCCGGTGAAGGACACGGGTCACAAGGGCACCAGAGGTGCTGCCTGGCCACCTACCTGGAGCGCCGCACCGTCCGATAGGCACTGGGAAGAGAATGCTTCGCTTTCGAGTGCGACCTAGACCTGGACTTGGATGACGAGTGGTACTTGGGAGAACGCGATCTCGTTCGAGATCTTTTTTTGTGCTTTTTCTTTTTCTTTTCTTTCTCTTCCTCTCTCGGTGGATCTCTGCTTTTGCTCGAAGGCCTATCGGGTGGTTTAACTTCTAAAGGAGGCAGAGGTCTGCCTCCAGTCAGTAGAGGGCAGGGTGTAGTGCTGGATTCCTGAGAATAGAAGGAAAATCTGGGTATTAACAGGGAAAACAGGGTATTTAAAAGGATGTCTATTTATAAAATTTCAACTTCGGGCCCCTCACACCAACAAACATAGCAGCCATCCCTCAGAAAGACTTGTCTCCTCCTGTGGCCATCCAGAGTGACCTCCTTGCCACCTTGCAGGATGCAAAAGGAGAGAGTGGACTCTCTGGTCCCCATGCCTTTCCACAGGCAGCACTCCCTTCCCAGCCCCCGGGTTCTGGTCTGCAGAGCCAAAAAGAAGAGCACAGCCTTAGAGATGCTATGTTGGACTATCAGAGGAGAGATTCTTCAACCTCCCATATTAGGTTGTTAAATGAATCTGTACTACTCTGACAACAATTTTTAAAGAAGGTCTAAACTAAAGGGTGTTTCCCTAGATGTTTGAAAAGCTCTCCATCTGAGTGTCACATACATACAGAAGAGCACATGAATCCTAAATGCACGGACACATTTTTACCACAGGCGTATGGGAGACAGCGCCCTTCAAAAGTGCAGGCTGCAGCCACCACCTGCTGCACCTCCTCTTTCCCTAGAAAGGTCACTCCTCAATTCACTTTGAGTGAATTTTAAGCTATAGCCACTAGACACTTCACATCTCGAAGACACCGTGAAAAATCTGTAATTAATCATTTAGTGTCTCGAAGAAATTCAGGCTAGCAACAAATGTGCTATGTTGGCCAGGCTGGTCTCAAACTCCCGGCCTCAAGTGATCTGCATGCCTCAGCTTCCCCAGCTGCTCCCCGGGGAGAGAGCTCCAGCCCAGCCCGGGGAACAGTGTGCGCAGGATGGCATCTGTGAAAGGGAAACTGCAGAGGGGATTCCCTTCCTTCCTTCCTCCCCTGAGGTCGGCTGTGGCAAGGCCCACTGGCTAAGGGAAACACCGTGGAAATAATTCTTCTACACCTGTGCTTCTTACATTGGCGGAGAGAAAAAGCAATTCAGGGGCGCCCTACCGGGGCAGGCTGCAATTTAAGATGAGAGTCCACTGGAGCTGGGTGCTTTAGGATGGCACCGTGATTCCTCAGCCCTCTGCTCAGCCTCCTGTTTCCCTTCACAGTGCCCTCTCATGCCCCCCTACTGTGGGCGTGCTGAGGCCGGGGGGTGGGGGGTGAATTCCTCCTCTGATGGGATCCGACGGCCAAGTTCATCTTTAAGCCTCTGCCTAAATTATCTCCAGGGACATTTTGGTTAAAAAAAAAATCTGTTTTACTGTGGGACAGTTCTTATCGAAAAGGCCTTTCTCATTTAAAATTCTGCAAGCCTAACAATATTTTTCAGGGTAAACGTTTAAAACATTTTTTGGGCTGGGTGCGGTGGCTCAAGCCTGTAATCCCAGCTACTCAGGAGGCTGAGGCAGGAGAATTGCCTGAACCCAGGAGGTGGAGGTTGCAGTGAGCCGAGATCGCGCCATTGCACTCCAGCCTGGGTGACAAGAGTGAAACTCCGTCTCAAAAAAAAAACAACAAAAAAACCCGCATTTTTTGTTTTGTTTTGATGTCTTGCTCTGTCACTTGGGGTGGGGTGCAGTGATGTGATCTCAGCTCACTGCAACCTCAGCCTCCTGGCCTCAAGTGATTTCTGTGCCTCAGCCTCCTGAGTAGCTGTGATTACAGGCATGTGCCACCATGCCCAGCTGATTTTTTTGTACTTTGAGCAGATAAAGGGTTTTGCTACGTTGGCCAGGCTGGTCTCAAACTCCTGGCCTCAAGTGATCTGCGTACCTCAGCCTCCCAAAACGTAGAGATTACAAGTGTGAACCACTGAGCCCAGCTAAAATATTTTATTGCTAACATAATTCTTTCTTTTCTTTTTTTTTTTTTTTTTTTAAGGTAGTTTCACCCTTGTTGCTCAGGCTGGAGTGCAATGGCCTGATCTCCGCCACAACCTCAGCCTCCTCGGTTCAAGTGATTCTCCCGCCTCTGACTCCCAGGTAGATGGGATGACAGGAATGAGCCACCATGCCCAGCCTGCCAACATAATTCTAACATATAAACATTGGATGAGAAACCAAGCTCTGTATCTAAGAACATGCATCCCACTCTGGCATTAGTCAAGATTTGCCCATAAGCAATGCTAAATGATCCTTTTAAGTTAAAAATACAATAAATAAAAGGTAGTAAGCTTTACAACTGCAGAGGTTCAGCATTCTAGCTATGGCCTCTCCCACACGCACCGAAAGGGAGAGGCTTCCATTCTGCAAAGAGCCAAGAAGATAGGTCTGTGAGCTGAGCACAGCCACGGAGGCGAGCTCTGGGCAGGCAGCAGAGAAACCAGCAGAGGCACTAAAAAAATCCCAATATCCACAGACTCTAAGTCAGAAGGACACGCTGTGCAGAAAGCAAGCTGGCCCCGGGGAGGAAAAACGCCACTGGGAACCTCAGCGCAGGCACCTGTGAGTGTTCGGGGATGTCGGAGCTGGTCCTTTCAGAAACAAGGCCCAGGAGTTCCCCAGGAAAACACAGAGAAAGATCATGAGAGGGAGGGCCGAGACACACACTCCACCCGGAGTAGGGCGTCTTTTCTGTGGCAAGAAGGAAGAGAGATGCGTCACTGCTGTCATTTTCTGGTGAAGGACTCCCCTTGTTTACTCTTTCCATGCTCACAAAATCACCGCACTAATTTGGTGTGTGACTGACAACATGCTGCATTAAAACAGAGGGAGATGGAAAAGCCGGTCCCTGGCAAGTGACCGTGAAAGATGACAGCACACGTGTGAGGCGCCATCTGAGGCACAGTCAGAGGCAGGAGCACGCGGGGCAGCTCAGCGGCTGAGTTTCTATTCGTATTTTCACTGCCAACTTAATGATTTGTGCCTCTGAACTTTATCATTTTTTTTTGCCTTTATCCTAACGAATGCCTGATTCTTCCCGGACGCCGGACAAGCACTCAGGTACCAACAGGGTAGGACGTAAAGACTGCCACCCTGACCCCCCACTGAGCTGACATTCAGCACTGATTGTGACATGCCTTCTGGGGCTTGTCACAGACACCCCTTCCGGGATGGCAGAGCTACAGAGCACTGTAACACGCTTGGATGCTGCTTTGAGGCCCGTGCAAGCCTGCTCCCACAAGGGAGGAGCGACCGCCGGCTCCAGCACTCCTTTGCTCGGGTTCCCACATCCGGCCGCTCGTGTGCTCCCCTCGACAAGGGATTGAGTGGTGTCCGAGTAATGGGCCACCCCCTGTGCGAGTCCTGAGAAGGGGTCAAGGAAACTCTCACGTCTGATATGCAGGTTTATATGCACTATTTTTGCATATGCGTTTATACATTTTATAAACCAGTGGAAAATCTCGAGTACTGCCAGTATCTTCCCATGCCAAGAGGCACAGTTTAGGACATCACTCGCCACAGTGCTGAATATGAAAAATCACCTCTCTTAACGATCGACGGGGCTGAACACAGACATGGATGCAGAAAGACCGAGTACAAACGGGAACTGAGCACGTTCAAGAAGGCTCTTGAGTCACCGGGGCAGACGTATGACTTACTGAATGTGTCGCATGTAGCGACGTGCTCCTCAAACTGAAATAAATTCCAGGTGTGGTGGTCAAAAGCGCACCAGGGGAAACAACGCTCGTGACACTGACGACAAGCAGCTAGCATGAGGCCAGGTAGAGAAAGGTAACCAGAAGAAACACGGGCCCCGTAAGGGAAAGCCAGCTCAAAGGCTGCAGACAACGCTGAGAAACGGAAGCCAAGTGACTCAGTATCACCTACCACTGAATACCAAAGTTAAAGCTGTTTTCCCACCGAAGCCGACAGGGGCATGCAGAAGCAGGAGCAAGTGAGACTGCTACGATCCCTTCAGAGGTCAATCTGCCAGTATCTCAAATAAAAAAAGCAATTCCACGGTGAGAATTTCCCCCATGGGTGCACTCGCTGGAGTCCACAAGACACAGGACACGGATCAGGTCAAAGTGGCACTGTTCACAAAAGACCCGAGTCGCAGCTCACACGCCCCACAGCAGAGGAGGGGCACACGTGGTGGGGGGATTTACAGGTAAAATACTTACAGCCATTCAGCCAGTAAATATCTACCGAGTGCCTGTAACACACCAAACACCACCGTAAGCACTGACAACAGAAGGATCTCTACTATAACTGAAAAAGGCAAGATGTCAGAAGACGTAGGGTGTGATCCCGTAATTGGGAGGTTTTCCATCTCTACACACATGAATCACATTTGTTTCCCTCAGGGATACACAGGAAACAAAGGGGGTGGATGCACGTGACTGATCTCATTCAGCTGAAAATCAAACGGGGCCCGAGGCGCCTACTGAGTGGCCAGACCCAGAGGACACTGTGCTAGGTGAAGACATCCGGCACAGAAGCACAGACCCTGCAGAATCCGACTCACGCACCGCCCCGAGTCCAGGTCACAGAGACTGAAAGCAGGTGGTGCCAGGGCTGGCGGGCGGGGAGGGCGGGAGGTACTCTTTAAAGGCTGTAGAGTTTTGGTGCTGGAAGATAAACATTTCGGTAATGGTTGCACAGTGCAAATATATTTGATGCCAGCATAAGCTGTACAGTTAAAAAAGGTAAAATGGTAACCTTCATGTTAAAAACCCAAAATATACATAAGGGAGAGAATTCAGAGGAATTTTAAAAATTGCCATTTCCACAGGAATTAAAAAAAAAAAAAATAACAAGAAGGAGAGCACCTTTCCTTTCTGTTTTATATCTTTCTCTAGCATTTGAACTTTAAAAATCATGTTTATCATACAGATACATCGCTTTTTTTTTTTTTTTTTTTTTTTTGAGACAAGAGTTTTAGTTTGTCGCCAGGCGCCAGGCTGGAGTGCAGTGGCGCGATCTCCGCTCACGGCAACCTCCGCCTCCTGGGTTCAGGTAATTCTCCTGCCTCAGCCTCCCGAGTAGCTGGGATTACGGGCACGCGCCACCATGCCCGGCTAATTTTCTGTATTTTTAGTAAAGACAGGGTTTCACCATGTTGACCAGGATGGTCTCGATCTCTTGACCTCGTGATCCACCCGCCTTGGCCTCCCAGAGTGCTGGGATTACAGGCGTGAGCCACTGCGTCCGGCCCGGATTCATCACTTTTATAAAACGCAATGTAAAGACAGAAAAGCCAGAGTCCTTCAGGCCATCAGCTACACCATGGCTGTTTCCAGCCAACTTGAAGATGATGATAAAATTCCTGCCGTGTGACGCCAGGCCTTGTACGGGGGAGTGTCCTCATGCCACCCTGCTTGCGGTTTCTCCCCACAGAGCCAGACTGAACTGGTCGTGGCCCTGACAGACGTGGGGGACGCCATGAGCCTCCTGGGGCCAGTGCGCTGTCGGCCACACAGGCTTCCTCGCCCAGGGTGTGAGGTGGCCAAATGTGATCTTATTTCAAGTCCTCCTGGACTCTGAGAATTTTACAACTACAAAGTTGGGTCAAGTGTCTCAATATCAGTGAGTAAAGTATATGCTAGAATACTTCCTTAGTAAAGTCAAGGGTAACCTGTCCCCTGAAGCTGTTTTAGGCTAAAAATATTTTTAAGTTTGAACCTTATTTATGACAATTGCCAACTTAATTACAAGTATTTTTGTTTCAGAAGCAATTAAAGACATTTATCACCATCTGCTACGATCATTACATTTTTGCTGCATGTCTTGGCAGCTTAACCTGCACATATACACACACAGACTTGTATCCAGGGAGAGCATCCCAGTGATTACTCATTTCTATGTTTCATAGATCCAAAAACCATTGCTTGCAAACAGGAGAGGTGAGAGAAGGTACGTATAAAAGTAATAGGATAAAGGCCTAAGCTAAACCTATCCTGTGTTTATAAGGAAATAATTCTGGTTGCTGTGATGTGGAACTACAGCAGATCGGGAAAAACTGGGTCAGTGATAAATTACAGTTGTGACTGAGCTTCACTGGAAATTTTATTAGACTATACAGACACAGTCATGTAGTATCACTGGTTAAGGTATTCTTGCAAATGCCTTTCAATTAATCCCTTTATCTGCTGCACAAATAGTATCAAAACATGACAAAGGAAATGACGGCGACCCGTCCGCCCTGCGGTGGTCCCTTCCTCTCTTCAGCTCCCTCGCCTCCTTGCCGCGTGCATGTTTGCATGGCTGCAGCCACAGAAGTAGAGGTATTTTACACTGCGCTTCTCTTGTGTGCTGCATTAGAAGCATTTTTGTGTGGCCACAAAAGTCCTCATTATCATTTTTGTTGCTGTTTATTTCATTCCCTTATTGCTGCAGAATATCCTTTTTTTTGAGATGGAGTCTCACTCTGTTCCCCAGGCTGGAGTCCAGTGACGTGATCACGGCTCACTCCGGGTTCAAGAGATTCTGCTGCCTCAGTCTGCCAAGGAGCTGGGATTATAGGCATATGCCACCATGCCCTGCTAATTTTTTGCATTTTTAGTAGAGATGACATTTCACCATGTTGGCCAGGCTGGTCTTGAACTCCTGACCTCAGGCAATCCACCCACTTTGGCCTCCCAAAGTGCTGGGATTACAGGGATGAGCCACGGTGCCCAGCCAAGAAATCCTACTGAAGCTGAGGAATAGCCAGGCGCAGTGGCTCACACCTGTAACCCCGGCACTCTGGGAGGCCGAGGTGGGTGGATCAGGTCAGGAGATTGAGACCAGCCTGGCCAACGTGGTGAAACCCCATCTCTACTAAAACTACGAAAATCAGCTGGGCGTGGTGGCGTGCACCTGCGGTCCCAGCTACTCAGGAGGCTGAGGCAGGAGAATTGCTTGAATCTGGGAGGCGGAGGCTGCAGTGAGCCAAGATCGCACCACTGCACTCCAGCCTGGGCAACAGAGCAAGACTCCATTACACACACACACATGCATGCGCGCACACATACACGCTGAGGAGTGACCACAGATTCTTTTTGCTTTTGCCATAACTGGCAGAAGTGAGGAGACAGGAGGTGGCCCCGACTCTGAGGAGCTATGAAAAGGCTATGAGATGGTGTCTGGAGGGCTGCTGGGCATTCCCACCTTCTTGAACTGGCACACTGAATGGCCCAGAGGACTGGGCGCCACTGACCTGTGGAGCTGAGGCTACAGACAGTGGCCTGAACACTCAGGAATCAAGAGGCAGGAGCCCACCGGTGGCACTTGGGGACTTGACAAGGTCTCATGCAAGCTCACCTTCTCTGCTTCTCTTATCTAACTCTCTCCTCCTTGTCCATCAGCTATTACTTCTGAGGCCTCCTGCCAGATGGGAGAGGATTTGACTCAATCCCAAGAGCAGAAAGCTGATTCAGCCTTCAGTATCATTTGAAAAGTCTGAGCTCAGAATGTTGTTTTCCACAGAAAAATAAGCCAAGTGACTTCAAGCAGAGAATCAGTTTTGAATAATGGCCCTGGACTCTTAGAAACATCAATATAATTAAAGTGAAAAGCTCATTCTGTATTATGAGAAAAAAACAGCTACAAAGGACATTTAGGGCCACCTGGAACAATGCGGCTTCGGCCTGCAGGGAAGGTGACGTGTGTCAGTGGGCAGAGCGGTCACCACGTCTGCAAACGCCTTTCAGGGAAGGTGCGCAGGCGGGGGTCCACGTGGAGCACACGGATGAGTGAGCACACGCACATGCTTGCCTGGGGCACTGGGGTCATCTTACCATTCTTTCAATTTTTTTAAGGTTTGAAACTTTTCAAAAAGCAAAACTCCTGGAGTTACTACTTTTTTTATTCTTTCCAACTTTTATTTATTTCATCACCAGGCAGTGAGCAGAGAAGCTGACAGGCAGATTTTTGATCTTCGTCCTCCCCCTTCTCCTGCCCTCCACCCTCCATTAGGCCCTGGTGACTGTCGTTCCCTTCTCTGTGCATGTGCACTCAGTGTTCAGTTCTCACTTATAAGCGAGAACAAGTGGTGTTTGGTTTTTCATTCCTGTGTTCTTTTTTTTTTAAAGAGAGAGATTAGGTTGAAATCTTATAAGATGATTTTTAAGCTGCTCTTAAAATAACATAAAACCACTGTTTTTTTTTTTGAGACGAAGTCTCACTCTGTTGTTCAGGCTGGAGTGCAATGGCGCAATCTAGGCTCGCTGCAACCTCCGCCTCCTGGGTTCAAGCAATTCTGCAGCAGCCTCCCAAGTGGTTGGCATTATAGGCATGCACCACTACGCCTGGCTAAAAACCGTAATTTTTAAAGCTATCGTCTAATTGCAGATCTAAATCGATTCTAATATTACAGTTCAAATATAAAGTCAGGTTTTAATTCAACTACAACGACAGGACCAGCCACTACAATGCTCAGTTTTGCCATAGTTAATCGACACAAAGACAATCCTCCTTTAATCCTAAAAGGATGTGTCCGACTCTATTAATTTTTCTTACTTTGAGTTATGTCTCCAAAATGCTCCTGAACTCCCCAAAGAATTCCTAGATATTCTTGAAGTATAGTTTAAATACAAAATAAAATTCAGAGACAAAACTGGTAAAGATTCTACAATAAAACTGAAAAGATTCAAAAATGATGTGACTAAAAAAAAGCAGAGTTTTCACTGAACGTGACTAATTGCTGCCCTGCTGCAGGAACCAGCGCTTCCTGAAGGCCTCTGGTCTTGGGCACCAACATGAGCAATCCCCTTGGCACCACAGCCAGTATCTCCTGAAGGTCTCTAGTCTGAGGCCTCTGGTGCAGGAGACTTGTAAGGCAGCCACGTGATAACCCCCATGTAGGACCATATCCCCGTTCACACCAGAGGAAGGAGCCACCAACTCCTGGAGAATCCCTTTTCCTTCTTCTCTTTATTAAAGTGCTGCTACTATTGATACAGACCTTGGCAAAAGAATTTCTGCCCTAAGTGTGAGCTCAATCCTGGTGCTCCTGCGGAGGCGGGGCTCCAGTGAAGCGTGTCTGCGTTTCCCCAGCAGGACACATGGGAGGCACTCCCCAAGCCTCCTGCCAGCCCCATAAAGGCAGCTGTGAAGCAGAGGCTCGTCTGAGGCTGCAGGCAGTATTTGGGGCTTACGCGAACAAGTGCGCTCACAGGGGAACTGTTGTCAAATTCTTAGACTCGCGGCCACAAAGCAAAAGCTGGCCACGCCCCGTGGGAGGGAAGAGCTGGAGGTTCATATCCCTCACTCGGGCCAGACACTAGGGCAGCTGGAGGGAGGCACATCCTCACCTGCTTCTACCTACCATGCAGCCCCGCAAATACCAGCTCAGAACTTCTTTAACATACCTCTATGCTCAAAGCACTCTCCTCAATTTTCCCAGCTTCTGTTTCCGGCAGAGGATTTTTTAGGGTCTGTAAAAATAAAGCCGCTTTCCTTTTACGTTCTGCTTGAAGCTGTTTCTCTTTTGACTCCTTAGACGCCTGGGCCAGCTTTTCCCGGGCAGCGGCTGCGAGGCGATCTTCCAGCTTTTGCTTTGCTTAAGGAATCAATAAAGAAAAAAGAGAAGTTTAGAGCAAGCTGTATTTTACCTCATCTTACTTTTCACAGGTTGCAAAAGTGTCATACAACGTAGTTAGTTAAAATTTCTGAATAGGTACATACATTGGACAAATCGAATTTTGAGAGAATCAGCTTATAATGAGCCCTTCTCTGGACATTATACTCTCAGAGTCCGAAGGTTGATGAGATGCTATGCTAATGAAAACTGGACTAATGAACACCTCTCAACGTATATCCAACATATTCACACCAGGCAACACACACTCTAGCCAGTGTTTTATTCCAGATGATCCGACAGCTGGTTAGTTTACACAGGCTCAGATGCACAGGCACGAGCACAGGTCTGCTTAGCGAGGACACAGCGAAGTTCTTCATGGTCAGGTGTACTGTGGTTGAAAAATGGCCTCTTTTAAATGTTGCTTGATCTGAACGTGTGTATACAGAAAAAGCAATTTCAGAAAACTAGTTAGAACAGATAACAACCACAAATGCAGCAACCATGATTTGAGTGCTTTAATGCAGAAAATAATTCATTCTGCAGTCGGACAGGAAGACTATATGCTGTCCCCATGCTGCTGGCAGAGCTGGGGCAGGGGTGGTGGCCACGCTGTGGTCCGTGAGGACGAGCTGCAGCCTGAAAACCAGCTGGGTACGCACCACCTTCCAGGGCCCGATGGTTCTGCGAGGAGGCAACCTCATAAAAGGGCATCTCGTAGTTTGCTTCCTGAGCCGGAAAGGCAGGCTGAGCCTTTCACCCTGGGCTGCCAGCCAACCGCAAAGTGAGCCTCCATAAACGCATTCCGCGGTGGCATATTAGGGTTAAGATGGCCAGCTCAGTTTCTCCGAAAACCAGCTGCCAATGGCACTGCATTTGAGGCTCAATGAAGAGCAGAGCTCATTGCTCTAAGAGAGAATGTTTCAAAATCTCAGACACGTTACCCAACTCCCAAATGGTTCTGATTTCCAAAGCCTTCCGATTCTACCTGGCAGTCTCCGTATTTTTGGCTTAGCAGATAAATCTTATATTTATGTATTTCCTTGCTTTCAAGAAGTTTAAAAGCTATCAACAAACCTTGCTTTGCTTCTAGCTCCTCCTGGGTAAGTTGAGGCTTCTTCTCCTCAACAACTACACAGGGTGGGGCAACTGCTGGGTTAGTGTTTGCAGCACTACTAGAACTTTCTTGGCCTTCTTTGCTTTCTTCATCATCATCACTGTCATCATCTAGCTTAACACGATTTTTTTCCAGGGGAAGCAGATCATTTTCTTTGGCCTTGATTGCAAAGCTTATTGGAGCAAATGAAGCTATTGAGGAAAGGTGAAAATTACGATACATGTTTAGGTAACAAGAAGCACCGAGCGGAAATCTTCGCAGGTCCTGCTAACCCCCTGAGCGTTGGCTGGTGGGAAGGGGACAGCTAGCATGGAGCCAAATCTTATGCAGGGTCTGCGGCAAGCCCCTAAACCGTGTCCTGCGGCAGGGGCAGTGAGGGACGCCTGTGCCGTCAGAGCGGCCCTGTGCAGGTGTGCACTGCACGGTGTGGGGCTGGGGTGAGCCCCTAAACCGTGTCCCGTGGCAGGGAGCAGTGGGGGTGCCCATTCATCAGAGCAATCCTGTGCAGGTGTGCACTGCACGGTGTGGGGCTGGGGCGAGCCCCTAAACCGTGTCCCGTGGCAGGGCAGCCCACACTGTGGGAACCGCACTCACTGGGGACTATACACTTGCTGATGCCAGGGCAGTCACCTGCAATTTTTAATGGTCAATTATTGTCATTTTTCTTTAAAAAAATGTTCATGGCTCAGCGTGTATCTGAAATTGCTTCAGAAGGCATATGATGTGACTCCACTACAAACAGGGAAACTCCCCATTCTATAAAATAACCTTTTCTTACAAAGCAAAAATGACAGAATCCATGCCTTTATTCAGCAAGCATTTTTACCTACTTGTGACAGGCATTATGTTAGACCATTTTCCAGACCTGTAAGAAAATTTCAAACCCAGCGTAACAAAAATTTAGGAGCGATCCCTCCTCCTAGAATAGTCAGTTAAATTTAACAGAAACACAAAGGCCCCAAAGAAAAAAATCATCTTCCCTGCCCTCCCACCCGGACTCAATGAACATGGAGTCCCTTCCTCTTTTAGATGCTGTGATAAATGGCTCTTGGCAAGAGCTCACTGGTTGCAATAAGGTACGGTATTTTCAAAAACATTAGTTATTATTTACGAAGACTATTCAAGTGACCCACAAGGAAGGGGACGTTAAGTGCACTGCGAACCAGGTGACTGAGAGGGAGTGGGCTCTGGGTAAACAAGGCAGGCTCTAGAAGGGCTGCACATTGTGTGTGTGAGGCTGCGGCCGGAACACAGGGGAGCCACCTGGCTGGCCCCGGAGGAGGCCCTCCTGCTTTAGCCTTTTACAGCTCCAAACCCACGTGTGATGTGAAGCAGACGGTTAAGTATGTGAAGCCCAGACCCTCTGCAATGTCACCACTTTTCACCAACGACCGCCTGGAGTGACCGGGCATATACCAGATGCCAAGGCCGCAGCGCAGTATTTCATAAGGCAAAACCAAGCAGTGGCAAAATGAGCCTGGTATTATCTGTGCAGTGCTACCCCTGCTTGTGCAGCGTGTATTTACATTCATAACAACCCCCCTAAAAAAACACTCAAGGAACTGAAAATGTGCTTTGTAAGGATAGGCATTATTAACCATTTTATTGTGGTTATGTTTTAAAAAGTCTTTACTTTTAGAGATATACACTGAAGTATTCATGGAAAAAGTGTTACAACGATGGGGACTGACTTCAGAATATTCGGCAAGTGGCATTTAATAAAGTGTCGGAGACACCTGAGGTAGTCCTATCACCAGGGCCGGCAGCTGAAGCCACATGATGAGCACATGTGTCGGGTGTGAGCAGTCATTATGTGATACTGTTTTTGTACATGTTTGAAATTTTCCATAAGAAAAAAAAAAAAAAACTGGTCAAGTGTGGTGACTCACGCCTATAATCCCAGCACTTTGGGAGGCTGAGGTGGATGGGATCACCTGAGGTCAGGAGTTCAAGACTGGCCTGGCCAACATGGTGAAACCGCATTGCTACTAAAAATACAAAAATTAGCGGGCTTGATGGTGTGTGTTTGTAGTCCCAGCTACTTGGGAGGCTGAGGCAGGAAAATCGCTTGAACCTGGGAGGCAGAGGTTGTAGTGAGCCAAAATCACGCCACTGCACTCCAACCTGGGTAACAGAGTGAGACTCCGTGTCAAAAAACAAAACTAAAAAACAAAATGAAACAAAAAACCAAAACTAACAATGGGCTAGACTAAAATATATCACAAAACAATTTTAAAACAGTATTCCCAAACCATCTCCCCAAATTAGAAAAATATGCGATCAACAAATAAGAGTAATATATAGATGAAAGCTTCTGGAACACTTCCTAGCAATGCTTATTTCATCCGACATTTTATTCTATCTATTCTTTTTGAGACAGGGTCCCACTGTGCTGCCCAGGCTGCAGTGCAGAGGTGCAATCATGGCTTACTGCAGCCTTGACCTCCTGGCCTCAAGTGATCCTCCTGCCGGAGCCTCCTGAAGTGCTGGGATTATAAGCATGAACTGCCGTGCCAGCTTCAAGGAGAATTTTTTTTTTTTGAGACAGAGTCTCGCTCGTCACCCAGGCTGGAGTACAGTGGCACAATCTCAGCTCACTGCAACCTCTGCCTCCCGAGTTCAAGTGATTATCCTATCTTAGCCTCCTGAGGAGCTGGGATTACTGGCACCTGCCACCATGCCCAGCAATTTTTTTGTATTTTTCGTAGAGATGGGGTTTTGTAATGTTGGCCAGGCTGGTCTCGAACTCCTGACCTCAGGTGATCCACCCGCCCTGACCTCTCAAGTAGACATTTTAAAGCTAGTATCTATTCACATCAAACTCAAAGCCAATAAGCACAGCTATCGACTACACAGAGTAGCCTATGACACATGGCCCGCAGACTATACACTACAGAGTGGCCTATGACACGTGGCCCGCAGGTGCACAGTACACAGAGTGGCCTATGACACGTGGCCCACAGACACCACACTACACAGAGTGGCCTATGACACAGAGCCTGCAGGTACACACTACACAAAGTGGCCTATGACATGTGGCCTGCAGGTGCACACTACACAGAGTGGCCTATGACACGTGGCCCGCAGACACCACACTACACAGAGTGGCCTATGACACACGGCCCGCAGCCAACACACTACACAGAGTGGACTATGACACACGGCCCGCAGGTACACACTACACAGATTGGCCTGTGACACGTGGCCCGCAGGTGCACACTACACAGAGTAGCCTATGACACACGGCCTGCAGGTACACACTACACAGAGTGGCCTATGACACACGGCCCGCAGCCAACACACTACACAGAGTGGACTATGACACACGGCCCGCAGACTACACACTACACAGATTGGCCTGTGACACGTGGCCCGCAGGTGCACACTACACAGAGTAGCCTATGACACACGGCCCGCAGGTACACACTACACAGAGTGGTCTATGACACACGGCCCGCAGGTACACACTACACAGAGTGGCCTATGACACATGGCCCCCAGGCCTCTCTTACTCAGCATTTACAACTCCACAGGACGGACACTGAGGGGCTCCCCATTCTGGAGACCAGAAAACCAAGTCTGGAAAGGTTTGAGTTTCTCAAGGTCCCATAGGTCAGTGCAGGGAATCAGGAACTACTTCCTTGTGTGGAATTTTTCAATCACAGAATTGTTGCTCTGCCTAGCATCTTCCTTGCAGATGACATCACAGCACATGGAAGCATGTCCTATAGCCTCAGGGAGTGGTTCCGCTGCATTCAGAATAAAACCCAGTTTCTTCCCAAGGCTGCAAGTCCCTGCATGATCGCGGCCACTGCTCCACTTTCGCACTGGCCTGCCCCCCACGTGAGAGCTGCCTGCTCTTCTCCTGTGCCTTTCATATTCTTCAAGGACTGGCCCCACGAGGCTTCCTCAGACAGGCCGGCCCAGCCTCTTTCCTGCACACCACTCACTATGGTTTGCATTCACCTGCCACTGGTCTGCTAGCTCCCGGCAGGTGCAGGACAGGGCCACACAGGGACAGACGTGTGGCTGACGTGGCCTCTGGCACCCTGAGTGAATCCTCCATCTTCCATAGCAAATAGGTTTCTGTTTTTTAGCTAACAACTTTTATTGCTAACTTCTAACTTAAAAGTGATATACATTTTCTCCATGGGAAAAATTGGAAAATCTATGAGCAAAAATAAAGACCAACTGCAGTTCCAATATGGAAAAAATCATCTGACTGTAGTTAGTGGATGCCTGGGGGAGACATGTACAGTTTACACGTCTGTGTAAAACGGGGCACAAGCTCCCTGTTCAACTCCTTTACAGTGTAGACATGTTTCCGCATCAACACAGTCCACTTAAACTGCAGTAAATAGTATGGACATGTCAATGCCAATTCACAATTTCCCATAACTGCTTCCAGTTTTTTTAATTTTAAAAGACAAATATGCCGTACAAGGAACATCCCTGTACAGTCGTCTTAGTATAACACATGTTTCTAGGAGTAGAAGGTCATTTGCATTTAAAATGCAGTCCACATTGCTGGGTTGTATCAACTTACACTTCCAAAGACAGCTTTCCCACTGCCCACAGCCTCTCTACCACTGTTACTCTTTAAACTTTATCAATTAGAGGCAAAAAATAACAACTTATTAATGAGGATGCACTGAAGAAGTATATTTACTGGCCATCGATTTTTCTTCTTTTTGGAACCATCTTTTCATGTCCTTTGTCTACTTCTCTAGGGCAGTCACTGCTTTTTCTTACTGAGTTATAAAGGCTCTTTCTGTAGTAAGGATGCTAACCTTTATCTCTGTTAGCAATCACTGCCATTTCTCTGTCTTCTAATTCTACTCAGGCTATGCCCCCATTAAACCTACTAATCTTTCCCTGATTTACGGCTTCAGTTCTTGGACACTTCTTTCCAGCTCCAAGATTATTTTGGAAAATTACCTTTGTATTTTTCTACTTTTATATTTTGCATCTAAATACTGAATTTATATGGAATTATGGTTGTCAAATATGTGTTTTATTATTTTTCAAAATGGAAAGCCTGTTTTCCCATCATCAATTATTGTTACACTAAAGTCGTTTCATCATATAAAATCATACAAATCTGAGAATGCTGCTGCCTTCTTGGCACCTGAGAAAGCCACTCACCTGTTAATAATACTAGAAGATCTTCTCATTTTGTGACATACTGGGATTTCTGGAACAATCCTACTTGCTCATAAGCTGTTACTATTTTCATATTCAATGTACTATTTTCACATCTGTACTTGTGATTGTGGTCTACGGACTGCCAAGCTTTGAGAGCGTCATACTTTTTCATCTTTCTTAATGCTCTGGAGTGGCTTTAATGATGTAGGCTTCTATTTCTTGAGGGTGAATTAACCTGACCTTTAATTTGTCTTGGCTGACTGCCTGGGTGTAGAGGTATTTCATTAACCAATTATTTAAAAAATTCTTTCAGGTCTATAGATCTATGTCAGTTCCTTATTTCTTTATGAAACAATTTCAGCAACTTATGTTTTCTTAGAAAATGCTATTTTTCACTGATTTTCAAAGTCATTCAAATTTAAAACAATATATGTTGTTGTATACTTTATTTTCTAGTGCTAACTTCTAGTTGTATCTTGTATACTTTAAAAAAATCTATGTCTTTTTTCCTTTGTTGCACAGGCTGGAGCACAGTGGCATGGTCTTGACTCACTGCAACCTCTGCCTCCTGGGCTCACATGATTATCGCACCTTAACCTCCCAAGTAGCTGGGAGCCAGATGTGTGCCATCATGCCTGGCTAATTTTATTTTTTTTGTAGAGACATGGTCTCACAATGTTGTCCACGCTGGTCTCCACCTCCCAGGCTTAAGCGATCCTTACACTTTACAGCCCCCGTGAGGAGCTGGTACTATAGGCGTGTGCCACCAATCCAGGCTAAATTTTTTTTATTTTTAGCAGAGATGGAGTTTTGTCATGTTGCCCAGGCTGGTCTCGAACCCCTGGACTCAAGTGATCTGCCTGACTCAGCCTCCCGAAGTGCTGGGATTATAGGCGTGGGCCACCACACTCCACAGCAATTTATTTCTAAGCAATCTTTCCCACATGTCAGATTATCAGTAGCACTAGTTTTATAATATTTTCTATTTTGTGGAATACAAATGAGACCTAAAGATTTTTCTCCTGTTATGCAGGAGTCTGTCTCAGAGATGCCCAGATGCCTGGAGGCTCAGCAGTGTCTCCTGAACTTTGGAATCTCTGTGGGCGCAATGAGGTCTGTCTCCTTATCCTTTGAGAGAGGCTGGCCTGTGCGTTTTGAGAACTGAGAGTTGGCACGGGTTTAGTGGGATATTGGGTAGTAGATCTCTGTTCAAGTGTCTCAGGCTTGGGTGGATGTAGACAGGAAACTTCTGGGTGTGCTGTTTCATCTGCCAGGTTCTAGGGCAATCAGGGAAGTGTGGAGGAAGCCATCTGGCTGGCAGCAGCCTTGTGTGCAGGGCTGCTCCTCTGCAGGCCCGAAAGCTGGCTGGGGCCAGGTGCCTTCACTGGGCTCACAACCCCTGGAGCAGGAGGCAGGCTTGGGCTGTGGGTGCCTTCTGGGGTGTGAGAAGGGATGGGTGCTGCCTCTTCTGGGGTGCTCCCAGTCTGTTCCAGCCTCCTGGCTGCCCCTGTGACTGATGGCTGACTCTCCTGGGATCACTGCCCCGAGTTTCAAGGGTACTTCCCTGCGAACTCTAGCTGTGCCCCGTATCCTGACTTACAGACACTACCTGCCCCTGTTTCTGGAGTAATCACTGTTTTCATCCTCTACTTATTATGTTCTTTGGTTATTCCAATGAGAGTGTGAGGGTGGCCGGGACAGGTGAGATGAGTCATTTGTGCTCAGGAACCTCCTGGAATGAGAGGCCCAAAGACACAGTGAACCACCTCATTAGCGGCCCATCTGCATGGATTTGGTTCCACTGAATGATCACCATTCTCATACAAAAAGGCATCTTTATGCAAAGGATGGCCCTCTTGCCACCCCAGCCCACTTTCTCAGCCTCTCATCTCCACGCTGCCTTTCCTTCTGACCAAAGGGCTGTCACTTCGCCCCACTGCCACACCTGTCACACGCCACTCCAGGCCACCAATTCCACCAGAAACCTCTGAAGTTGCTCCTCTGGCTTAACTGCGTCACAAAGTCACCAGACTGGATCAAGTTATTCTTCTGACCTAAAACCTGTCAGGCGCACTGCCCTTCCTCCAGGGGGGGCGCCTGGGCAAGCTGGCCAAGGCTCCTTCACCAGCCACCCCCCAGTCACGGCTGACCGCGACCACATCTCAGCACCGGGCAGGCGGCTGGCACCACAGGGCTTCTGCCTAGGGCTGTGCTCCTGTCCCACACCTCCCGCTCCACCAGTGGAACACCTCTCCTCCGTGGAACCTCCCTCCCCCGGGGGAGCCCACTGCTGCTCATATGGCCTTCCGCAAGGTTTCTGGCTAACGAGCCTGCTCCGGTCTTCTCTTCTGTCTGCTTTTTATTGTTACATGCATATCTGTCCTGCAACATGAAAGTCTCCCTCCAAGAACACAACAAAGTAACTGAAATGGAGTGAGTGAAGTATTGCCTGGTAGAGATTCTCAAGAAACCTGCTTTGACAAATGAATGAATTTCATTGGTACAACAGTTTGCACATAAAGTTTCAGAAGTCCCAGGGGGCATGAAGCATTACTTCTAAAAATGTCCAGTATGCTGAACAGACTAAAACAGACACATACTTAAGAGCTGCTCACAGCCATGTTACCTCTAATGCCACGCTAGGCAAGCCTGATGCAGCACGGAAGGCGGGGGTTGTACCACTGCAACCTCGAGGGGGCCGCCAACCCCATGCCAGCCTGTAGGCGAGGGCGCTGAGTCTGCGGTCACTGAGGATCCCAGCTTGCCGACTCAGGTGGCGTGTGCAAGGCCAACATGCAGGTGGCAGCGTACCTTTCACCAGCTTCCCGTCTGGGACGGTTTTGCTGGATGACGCCTCCTTCTTCCCGCCTGAGCCTGCCCGTGCTCCCACCTCAGCTGCGTCTTCAGACGCGCAGTCTTCCCCAGCATCACTCGGCTTCTCAGGAGCAGAGTCTGCGGGAGCCTCTTCTGGTGTGGACACAGCCTAGCGATTAAATGTCATTACAAACTGTCAGCAGGAAATTATACAGAATTTGTCAAACAAGAGAGAGGTATACATGTTTCACTGGACAACAGCGATCGCACATTACTGCCCAAGTAGCACCGGGAATAGATGCCCAAATCCAGATCTGCTATTTTTTCAAGTAACAGAATGTATCAAAGAGGAGTGGAAGATTTTCTGTTGTCTGAAAAAACATTATACTCTTTGAAACCCTAATACTGCCTTGGGAACCAATCTTCAGATGCTGATTACTGAGAATTCTTTAAAAATACCAAATTATCCCCATCACCTACAGATGAGTCAGTTTCTTTCAGTTTGGGCCACTGGGGATAAAGGTCTGAAGCAATCTCCTGAGAAGCAAGGCCTATGTCATCTCTTCACCAAAACTGGTTTTACAGAAATGTCAGGGTGTCTGTGTAACGGAGAGGAGCAGAGCCAAGGCAGAGAGGGGCCCCCAAGGCAGAGAGGGGCCCGTAGGACAAGAAGCACTTCCAAGGGTGCGAGTCCCATGCCAGGGACCGGGTGAGGGGAGGGCGTGCAGGAGCTGGCAGAGGCTGTGCTCAGAGCACTCCCGGCACCAGCGGGCCAGGCGGGAGGTGCCCACTTATGTTTTATGCATTTCATACGTGTTAGCACCAAAGCAGCAGGGTACACGGCTGTTGTGAAATGTAGCTAAAGACTGAGGACGGCCAAGACATCGCGTAGCTGAAGAAACAGGATTCTCTGTTTAGAACATGCTGGACAAATGATCATCAATGCTGTGAACGTGGGTAGATGCTTTCAACAGAAGTTCCAGAGCTAAGGGGGACGTGAAAGACGGAGTATGCCAGACATACATGAAAAAAGGTGAAGAATCACCCAGCCCTTTCACTCATAGGAGAATAAACAGAAAGTGACCTCTGACGTGGAAGGCAGAGCCAGCCACCTGTCCACTTCACAGCCTCCCTGCGTTCAGACACGTACCTGCGTGCTATCGCCTCCTTCTTTCTGGAGGAAGAACTGCTTCTTAAACTCATAATAGGCATTATACTGGTGCCAGGGCTGCAGGAACTCGAATCTGAGCAGAAACGGAAAGAAAAAGGGTCATTTATCAAGACAAGTGCACTGCAGTAACAAGAGACCCTGTTCTCAGCACTTCAAGATGACTAGCTCTTCAATGATCTCAACAACCCCACAAGGTGGTCACTATTATAGCCACTCATTTTACAGATGAGGAAGAGTCCAAACAGCGGGAGAAATCGTTTGCCCAGGATTACACAGGTCATACTGCAAATGCGACATCATACTTTTATGCTTTACTAGTACCGAGGCACGGGACATCACTTAGTTTTTAAAAAGAAGGGTTTGCATCTAGATTTTTAAGGCACATTCTTGAAAACCATGAATTCCAGGTTTTTATTTTAGGTAGCTTCAAAATTCTTACTTAAAACATGAAACAAACAAAAAACAGGTAACATAATTTAAAAACACCCCTCAAACTCTAAGCAATTTAACAAGCCAATTAAAAATGGTATTTATCTAAAGATATTGGCTGGGTGTGGTGGCTCATGCCTGTAATCCCAGCACTTTGGGAGGCGGAGGTATGTCGATCACTTGAGGTCAGGAGTTTGAGACCAGCTTGGCCAACATGGTGAAACCCCATCTCTAGGAAATTATAAAAATTAGCCAGGCGTGATGGTGCGCGCCTGTAATCCCAGCTACTTGGGAGGCTGAGGCAGGAGAATTACTTGTTTCCAGGAGGTGGAAGTTGTAGTGAGCTGAGACTGTGCCACTGCACTGCAGCCTGGGAGACAGAGTGAGACTCCTTCTCAAAAACAACAATAAAGGGCATTTGAGCCAAGAAAAGGATTAAAAACATTAAAAAATTAATTCTGTACCTACAGTTAAAATAATAGGCTAAACAAAATCCCCCAATACCATATACCTACCCTAATACCATATACCTATCATAGATAAAATTCTTCATCTGACCTTTGATCGTTCTTGGCACGAACACTGGTCTCGAACTTCAGGCCGTTCCGGGCGACATACTCGGCCAGCTTGTCAATCACAGGCTGGACGTCAGGGGGCGGGGGGATGATGGCGGCCACAGGGGCCAGTGCACTGCGGGAGAAGAGTCTGTGAGACCCTCAGGCCTCAGGGGCTCACCCAGCTCAGTCCCGGCTGCTAGGGGGTCCTCATCGCCTCAGATACCCAGAGAGACATGTGAGTTATAAACAGTACACAGAGGAGGCTCCTGCTGAAGGTAACACATATGACAGAAATCAAAAGTCAACGACACAGGATCGTTGTCAAGAGTGAAAATGGGGATTTTAGTGATAAAAGGTGCATTTTTCCTACTAGTTAACATTTCCCTCCAGTCACAAGCTAATTCTTAGAAACAACCAAGAATAAGTGGGTTTTTTGCTGTTACATTGAAAAAAAAGTCAACAAGCGTGGTTCAACCTCCTTCATTTCAGCTTTGACTTGCTCAGCATGAGCAGGAAGAGCCATTTTAACAGAAACTGTCCTGTACTGCACTTCCCAAGAGCCTCCTTTCAGGGCGGGGCATTCCAGCCCCTCTGTAAACCACCAGTCTCGGACCCATCCCACGAGCGCTGCTGGAGAAGCCGGGGCTCTGCTGATGGCTTTACAGGTCGACTAAAGTAGCTGCCAGCCCCTGCTCCCACCTGCCAACAGTCTGGGAGAGACTCGAGCACCCCAACAACACCTGCATCAACGTTATGAACTCTGCATGTTTTGCAAACTGCAGTTTCACTGCACACTGATTCTGCCTAGCACAGCTCGACTGAGACACTCACACAAAACGCAGGAACAGATGCTGGAGATCTGGGGCCAGCGAGCAATGCGATGAATTCAACTTTAGAAGCCGTCTGACTTCAAGGCTAAAAAGTCTGTGCTATGACAATTTCTGTTTTCCAGGGAATAATAACTACTCAGGTAATGGGGACCCCTGTCTGTGATCCAGATGACAAGCCTCCCATGGAGACAGACAGCCCCAGTGACCGCGGTGCTGAGGGACTCACAGCGGGCGGAGGTGGACGCTGCCCCTACCTTGTGGTGGTGGTGGTGGTGGTGGCGGCCCCACTGCTTGTCTCTGCCGTGGTTGGGGGTGGCGGCGGCGTGGTCCCGGGAGGTGGCGGGGCAGTGGTGGTCACTCCGGGGGAGTTAGACACGGTCACGCCAGCGGGCAGGGTGCTGTAGTAGGTGGCCACGTCAATCCCCGGAGGGGGCGGTGCCAGACAGTAAGTGCCGTCCGGCAGCATGTAGTAGCTGTAATACATGGCGGCCACGGTCGCTGTGGAGACACATTTCCCAGGCGTGAGCGTGGCCGGTGACAGGCTGGTCCGTGAGTCCGTAACGCAGCCACAGGAGCCCCCCCCCCCCGGCCGGGTGCAGTGTTGCCCCTGCCCATTTCCAACCACGCTGTTTTCTAGATTTTTCCGATACAAGAGGGCTGTCTGCGCAGTATGTAGTTTAGAAGAACCAGGCAAAGCCACAACACACATCCAAAGACAGATGGAAAGTGAATGACATGAGGACGTTCAAAGCCACCAAACGTGAATATTCTCTAGATAAATTAACGTTCTCCTTAACTTCAAAACGTGCAGGTTGGGGACAGCCCCCTCGATTCCTTTCTCCCACGGCCCACCACGGTCACCTATGCTCAGAATTGCACATGTGAGGAAATGCCTCTAGCATCTCCCACTCCCAAAACAACCTTCATTCTTGAGGCACCGTGCTCCCTCTGTTCTCACACATTCATCTGGAAACCACCCCTTCCGGAGGCAGCCGCCGCAACACATGCTGTGCAGAAATTTATTCAGTAAGTTCCCAGGGCACTGAGCCTGCTTCTGGGCATTTCTGTCATAGGCAAATGTGTGGCGTCTTCCCACGTATTCTGTGCCCACGTGCAAGTATCTGTAGGGTAGTGGCATGCTGTCTTAACTAAACATCCTGTGTGTTTATCCTTTTGGGGGCTAAATGTTCAGAACCACGAATCGCAGAGGATTCAGTGATTAATTATGAAATATAATTTCTAGTTCTGTTAAGCAACTAGTTCTGACTATACAGAGATTTGATTCCTTCATCTTTATTAGGAGATGGCAAAAATATTACTCTAATGAAAAACTTTTATCTTCATTTTCAATTAATTCACCTTAAAACAGTAACACTGAAAAACAGTGAAAGCTTAAGCATGGTTTCCAGTAATGTATGCCACGCGGAGAGAAGTTTCAGAAGTACAACAATGCACTTCTCCACCTTTCTGTCTCAGATTGGCAAAGCAGCCTCATTCCTATGTGCCACAGGCATATTCCCCAGCTGTTAAGGACTTTTTATTTAAATTAACTATATATACATGAACTCCCAAACTGTCATTCTCTAGCTCCATGTTACTTACACACCAACCACTGTTATGCAGAAACAGCAATATCCCAAATTTTCAAAATAAGCTACATGGGCTCAATGTACTCCACATTATCCTTAACATAGAAGTATCTGCATAACATCTCTGACAAAAGGCCAGGGGTAGGGATGAGCCCCTTGGATGCAAGCGGGAGGAGGAGGCTGACAGAGGGCGGGCCTGTCTTCACTGTCTCTGCAGCCTCTGTACTGAGCACAGAGTGTGTGCTGGGTGGACGAACTGACCCAATGGTCTGACATAGGCTCTCCTATCAAAATCAGGATCCAAACAGAAGCAGGTGCTTCTGTGAGAGACAACGCCATCCCTGGAAACGAGGAGCTGCTGCTCACACCCGTTCCTTGCTGGAGTCGTCAGGGATGGATGCTTCCTCCCAGCCCAGTGTGAAGCTAGCACTCCAGGGAGAGCGCGTAGCCCAGTGTGCCCTTGGCTCAGGGGAGGGCTGGGTTTTCTAACTCCACCATGGACTGGCTGCTGTCAGGTCTCAAGCCTCCCACCTCAGCAGGAAGAACAGATACCCTGTGTCCTGTGCTGGACAGCCAGTCTCATTCCTAAAAAGAAGCCCAAATATGTTTTATACTGGGGCCACAAAGAATTCGTAAAAACAAACAAAACAGTTTATGATTATTTCAACCAGTGGTACATATTATGCAGCTCCAACCCGATACCTACATTCTTTATGTATCTGTGTAAAGTGCAATCACACTGGAATACAACAGAGATGAACAGACCTGTTCAAAGCTGAGCACCATTCCTGTGAAAGCACATGCAGCCTGTTAGTCTATATGACCTTCCTGAGCCTTCCATCTTGTTAAATAAAAACAAAGTGTTAAAAAAACCAGTACTGGCAAAATGGCAGACCACTTATCCACTGCAAACATCAAAAATGTTGGCTAAAATACAATGAAGAATTTAGGCTGGGTACAGTGGGTCACACCTATCATCCCAGAACTTTGGGAGGCTGAGGCAGGAGGATGCTTGAGGCCTGGGCAATACTGCAAGACTCCATCTCCAAAAAATAAAATAAATGAGCTGGGCATGGTACACACCTGTAGTCCCAGCTACTCGGAAGGTTGTGGCAGGAGGATAGCTTGAGCCCAAGTTCGGGGCTGTAGTGAGCTGTGATTACACCACTGTACTCCAGGGTGATGGAGTGAGGCCCTGTCTATTAAAAAAAATTATACAGCTGAGCTCAGAAAAAGAAAAAAGGGCTGTTTCTAGGTGTAAAAATGAAACAAGTCCCCAAATCTGAAAACACCTCCAGGGACACCCTAGCCTAGGTCCACAACTTGCTTCAGAGGCTCCACGCTAAAAACCATCCAGGCTGACAACACTCCGGGTACACCCTTAACCCAGACCCAGGAGATTCTCACGCAGAAGGAGAGCAGTGAAGCCGACATGTGCAGCCTCGGTGAGGCGGTCTGCTGCCAGCCACTCCTGCTATGGTCTCCTCTCCACACACCTGTGATTCTCTCCAAGATTTTAATTAAATTTGAAAATCGTCCTCTATCTCAAAAGGACTCCAAGAAAAATAAAGTATGTGCTGCTTGGTGAGATGAAAGCGCTCATCTGCGGGCAGATGGCGGGCAGGCGGGGTGCGCTCTACGGCCCCGCCGCGCTCCCAGGCAGGCCGGGACCCCACAGCGCAGTGGTTCCGGAATTTCGCTACACTGCTCTCGGGTGGCTTCTCCCAGATTCTCATTTCACAGGGTGTCAGGGATGTGAAGATACGAGGGAGGAGGTCAGATCCATCCTTCCCCAGATGCTGCGGCCTTGGTGGGAGGGAGGACGGGCACAGGGCACCTGGAGCAGCCAGGGCCAGCCTCTTGAAGGGTTTCTGCCAACTGCCCAGTCTGCACCTTGCCCTGGCGTCTGTTTCCTAGGTCTCTGTCCTTGGCATGGCCTCGCAGGGTCTCTGCCTGCTGTGAGGCCCCTGTTAAGCTTATCTCCAGTGCCGCCTGTTTCGGGAACCCTCTGTCCCCTTGGCAGACCTGGGCGGCCTTTCTTCTGGGCTCATGCAGGACCCTGTACCCAATGCCCTCGTGGTGACTCCTGCAGCACTAGCACTGCTGGGCAGCTAAGGCCAAGGACTCCACATCTTCAAATGGTGACCACAAGCCCTCCGCAGGTCGCACAGCTCTCGGCGCGAGCAGCCCTTGGTCAGTGTTTAGTGAGTGAGTCCATACTGGCTGGTGGCACGGCCTGGGCTGCTTCTAAAATGGCTCAGTGCTAACATACCCTGCAGTGACCATGAGGCTGCTTGACAGGCGTCCCACACGACGGCGGCGCCACACGGCTCACACAAGCCTTTCACTGAAGCCCTCTGCGCTGCCTACCAACCGCAGGACACAGGGATTCTGTATGAGCCCCTTGAATGCTGTCTACAGCAATTCTCGTGAATGCTAATTTTAAGAATTTCTGGGCCGGGTGCGGTGGCTCAAGCCTGTAATCCCAGCACTTTGGGAGGCCGAGGCGGATGGATCACGAGGTCAAGAGATCGAGACCATCCTGGTCAACATGGTGAAACCCCGTCTCTACTAAAAATACAAAAAATTAGCTGGGCATGGTGGCACGTGCCTGTAATCCCAGCTACTCAGGAGGCTGAGGCAGGAGAATTGCCTGAACCCAGGAGGCGGAGGTTGTGGTGAGCCGAGATTGCGCCATTGCACTCCAGCCTGGGCAACAAGAGCGAAACTCCGTCTCAAAAAAAAAAAAAAAAAAGATTTTCTGGACTAGAACAGGGTGAGAACAGAAATAAAATCCACAAACTGGGCTGTGGTCTGCAAACTGCAGTCTGGGCTGGCAAAAGCCACATGAGCTTTACCATAACTGTGCCATTGCTAGTCATGAATGGGGGAGGGCTCCTGCTGTCCCCAGGCTGCCGTGACACTCAGGGATCCTCCTGCACTTATAGTGAGGCTACTTCCCGACGGCCCCGCCACACACTGACAATACCATGCAGCAGAAAATACATTTAATGCACCCACCCTACTGAACGGCACAGCACAGCCTCGCCGGCCTCAGTGTGCTCAGGGCACCTGCAGCAGCCCGCGGTTGGATGAAATCATCTAACACGAAGCCTGTCTTATAACAAAATTCTGAGTATCTCAAGTAACTCACTCGTGTTCTACTGAAAGCAAATGGCATGTGCACTACTGTAAAGCTGAACCCTCAGTAAGACGGGACCACGTATATCTTGTTAGGTCTGTTGCTGTTCTCACGATTTTATATTGCATTTCCCCAAAAGGGACTAGGTTTTAAAGTAAGTTAAATGCTGATGTAATGTCACTCTAATAAACAAACACTATGAGTGCTACGAAAGCCTGCTCACTCCAACAGGTACCTACAGACCAACAGTCCCTAAAGGCCAGTGTAGTCGTATGAAGAGAACCAAGGTGCTTAAGAGCAGGAAGCACATCCGCTAGCCCTCCTTCCCCAATGCCGCCGCCTCCAAAACGTGCAGTGCTACTTAACACAGGTCGGAGCAATCGGCCCAATTATCTCCCGAAACCCCTCTATTCAACTGGCTTCTTGCAAAATCAGAGCCAGTTTCCCAGTATCACTGTGTGATCTTAATCTTGTGTAAATTTAACACTCAGAACAAAATCCCTGCACTGAGAAGCTTCTTAGAGAGGAAGAGACTGGTGAGCAATCACCTTTCCAGAAGAGCTAAGTCAGGGAGGATGAACAATGTGTATTTGTATTAAAAATGAAAATAGGTGGGACGTGGTGACTCATGCCTATACTCCCAGCACATTGGGAGGCTGAGGTGGGAGGATCGCCTGAGGTCAGGAGTTCGAGACCTGCCTGGCCAACATGGTACAACCCCATCTCTACTAAAAATACAAAAATTAGGCAGGGGTGGTGGTGTACGC